CCTGATAGATTGTAGAATTTATAATAAAATTCTTAAACGATCCCAACTCTCTCTTTTCTTGTCTCAAGGTCAATACAGAGTGTTAAATGAACTCCCTGATGATAAAAACAACCTATTCTTCTGATTATAAAAACTAGATCTACTTACAGTATATTAAAATACAACTCTAGATCGTTACATCACTCTATTTCACAACAATGGTGACTTTTGACAGACTTCTCTGAGCTCCGCAGCCGTTACACTTTTCATCTCGCGCACCCCCTGGCGGCAGCTCGCGCACCCCCATGGGTGCGCGCACCACACTTTGGGAATCCCTGGCATAGAGACAATTTGTAAGACAACTGTAGATCCTGCCCCACGACGTTGCCAGACTATATATGCACATATATAGGATGGCTTGCCAAGCTAAGAGGCCACTGTTAGATGTTACAGTCCCTACTTGAATACACAACAGACCTCTTGAATTATTAGTGAATCTGAGCTTTTATAAATATGGATCAAAAACTTGTTTTTATTATTACTGAAAGATGAGTGATGATGTTTGTTCCTGTCTGTGTGCTTTTGCTTAGCAAAAATATGTCAAGGGCCTTAGGACTTCAACCAATGAAATTCAAGATGGCTGTCACTGATAACTAGGGGTGGGCCGGTACGCCCCTGTGTATTCGAATGTGTCGGTACGCCCCTGTCGGTCCAGTATGCACTTTCGTACCGAGTTTCTACTCTAATTGCGTTGCACATTAACCTACAGCATGCTAACTAAACACATGGTGGAGCGCCGCAGAAGTTATGGCATGCGACTCGGGAGAGGAAGAGCTCGAATATCCACTGTTGTCATTAAAGTCTCCTGTTTGGGAAGACTACGGCTTCCCGGTGAGATATGTAGCAATGAACACATGTATCCCCACATTGCCAAGCTAGCAAAATGCTGCCTTGCCATACCAGCGTCCTCTGTCCCCAGCGAGAGGGTTTTTTCTACTGCTGGAGATATCGTAACAGCCAACAGATCTGCCCTTTCTGCAGACAATGTGGACTAATTTCTGGCGAAAAACATGAAGGTTGAGTGAACCTAAAAAGGCAACAAGCTGGAACTCCTAATGTTGCAGAATGTTTTTGTTAACCTATTTCAATCTGAATAATTCCGTTTGTTCCTTCATTTACACTTTAAGTTCTTCAAAAAAAAAAACAGCACAATAATCATATTGCAGATTCCTAAATAAATATTAAAACTTGCATATATTTATTTTTTTAATCTTATTTATATGTTAAAGAGTTTACAAGAGATTATAAGAATAGTTGCACTTTAAAAATTCTTAAAGTTTTGCTTGTGTGCACAAAATAATTCTTTATTGCAGCAGTTAAGCCAGCTCTTTCAGTTGCACTTTGTTTATTTGTAAAGAGCAAGTCAAATGTTGATTCTGCATTTTTCCAATAATAAAATATTGAAATCAGTATATATTTTTATGTTAAACATTATATACGTTAATTTTCATTTACTGGGAATATCTCGCAGAATGTAATGCAAGTAAATGTTCAACTTAAATGTAAATAAAGAATTTACTGTTTACACAAAAGAAAAGCGTTTTTAATTTTTTTACTGTACCGAAAACGTACCGAACCGTAATATTAAGCCAAGGTACGTACCGAACCGGGATGTCAGGCACACCGGCACACCCCTACTGCTAACTAAAACATAAACACAAAACTTGGTCTGTTTCACAGATATTGAGTTAGACATGGTGTTGCATGAGTCGTTTGTTTGAAAACAACCCAGAAACAACGAGACAGGTTTCAGTCACACATCTAATTAGTAAAGTCAAGGTTACTCAAGATGGCTGCCACAACACAAAACTGATGATTTTATAGACATGAACATAAGTGGGTGATCCCAAAGCATCATTTGCATCACTGAGTCCTAAGACATCATGCATTTTAAAAAAATTGAGGGGAAAGTTGAACTCTGAAGCCCTCAGGTGGCGTTTTTCCCTCCGTTGGTGGAGTCGGTGAGTTTCTGCCTCTTTTCTTTTGCCGCTGTTTGGTTTGAGATAACGGCCGGGCTGAGCACACAGCGTTTGGGTCGGTGTTTGCTGTCACCTATGCGATCATCACTGTGTTTGCTCACTCGAGTGTGTTATAGAGGAATTGCAGTCAGACAGTTCAGGAGAAAGACATTTCTACACGTCTTTGTTTATCTAATCTTGTAGTCATAACGGAAATTATTCAGGAAGTTTGAGTCTTTGATGTGAGATCAGACAGGTGGTATCAGCCTTCATAAATCAGCTGCTCTGGAAAAGCGCTGCAAAAATTAAATTAAATATTTTTAAAAGATCTGCTGTTCTGCATCCTATGAAATGTCAGGAAATGTTCAGCTCCAGGATATGAATGGGAAAATTTGCCATAACTGATCCAACTCAACCAAACAAAAGCAGTTTGTTCAGTTTCCAGAGATAAAAGGAATCCTTAAACATGTCCAGCCAGGTCTGAATGGCATCCACTTCTGATCAAACTAATGGCTGAAAACAAACAATGGGTCTCTCTGTCCTTTAAGCAGCTATAAATAGAACATTTCTAATCATTTCACAATGATTCATAAACATAAGGACTAAACATCATGAATAAACCTTTTAACTTGGAAAAAAGCAAGAAAAATGTCGTTATTGCTGTTCTTGTTCATTTGGAGCAATATGTGATTTAATTTAATGTGTACTAACACTATTATAAAACCAGCTATATTAATAAAACATCATTAACCTGATAATCACAATAAATACACACAGGAACACAGGCCTCACACAGAAAAAAGAAAATTCATCAGTGTTTATTTTTGATCAGGTTTTGCTGTTTCGGTGTCTTAAACATTATTAATCCAAAATATTTTAGACTGTTTATAATTTGGTAGATGGTTTTTCTCATTTAGGGCATTTCCCCCTCAAATATGCAAATATGCCAGTCTAGAACCAACCCTGCATCTGACCCATCCCCTGGGGGAGTGGCGAGCTGCAGACACGGCCACACTCAGGAACCATTTGGTGGTTTAACCCATAGATATGAATATGTAGAAGCCTCATTGGGCACTGGAGAGCCTAACAGCATTGCCGCCATATTGAATGGGTCTCCTCACTCTCCAAGTCAACGCTGAGTCAGCAACTATGCCTGTTTTTATGCAGCCTACCGTTGCAAGAAGCAGCATGCTATTGAAAAAAGACCACTAAAGATTACTATTGACTTTTCTAGCCTACCTGTTGGGATTTGATATTTTTATATATTTTAATTTATTATATATATATTTTAACTATCATGCCCACCCCCATTGAACCTTATAATGGCGAGTGTCAAGCTGGGAGGAATTGTGTCCCTTCATAAAAGTCTTTAGTATGACCCAACCATGGATTTGAATCCATGATCTCCCAGTCCCAAGGTCTGAGCTAATGTCGGGAAGACACACCCTGTTAACTCTCAGCTGCTAATATGACTAATTTGAGCTCAGCTTTTTAAAACCAACTGAATTAGAAATAATTATGAAACAAAACTTTAGTCATTAAATCACTTCCTGAAGGCAGAACGGTTTCTGATACTTGCTCTGCTGCTGTTTAACAATTCTTAAACTAAGTTTCACCAAATCTGCACCAAAACCTCTGTCATCCAACTGGGAGGAAGATGTGTGCTTCTGCAAAAGGGCTGGCCAACTTTCTACATGTTTACAGGCGATTTCATGGTGTTGTGTCATGTTTGTTCACCTGCCTGATGAATTAATCAGAATCGGAGAGTAACATGATCCCAGGCCGATTATCCAGCCAGGCCGGATGAAGTTTGATCTGTTCCCTGTTTTCACTTTGACTGAGTCATGGTGTAGGTGCTGATATCACCTCCATCCACTGTGAGCATGACTCATCAGTAAACAACAACATCAATAACCTGATGATCACAATAAACACACAGGCCTCAAACAAAAAAAGGGAAATGCTCATCAGTGTTTATTTTTCTATCAGGTTTTATTGTTTTGGTGTCTTGAACATGGAAACTTAAAATGTTAGTTTTTTCTGTCAGCTGTTTAACAAAAGCTGAATGTGTTCCATCTGAGGAGAGTGTCTGCTCTGGACTTTTCTGTCCTCCAGTGGTGCAGAGTGGAACTGCAGCTGGTGCAACACTGGTGCAACATACACACACACACACGCGCGCGCGCGCGCGCGCACGCACGCACACACACACAGATTTGTGCAGTCACTGTGATGTGGCAGCCGAGTCACATAGTTTGTCTCCTTCTTTATGTGGGTCAGTCTGACTCACCCAAGTGACAGCTGCAGTTTTTACCTCAGCATGACTCACCCAAGGACCAGCTTAAATACTATCACAGTCATGGGTCAGGAAAAATAAATGTCATTTCTTCACTGAATTGTCATGGAAAGAAAAATAAAACAAAATGTAAAAAACTGAATTGTCACAAAATCGAACATGGAAAAATATTAAAGGTCAAGTTTTTGTTTTATTATTTGATGTGCTTGGAATGAAATGAGTAAAAAAATAGTGTTTGATTCTGAATCAACTTTACTGGTTTAACAGCTAAAGGAAAACACCAAACGGCAGTCAGGAGACATAATGGTCCATCTGAGACTGAAGAGTCCGATTTCTATGGAACAGCCGTTTTTTTATTTTAATTTTTTTTGGTCATTTATGTGTTCTCTTTGTACCTTGTGGCCTCAGAGCATCAGACGACTCAAATAACAAGAAAAAAGGAGGAAAGAAAAAGTGTAAAATAATCTAAAAATGAGTCACCGTTCTTGTTGATCAAAGGAGAAACTCAGATGACTCGCGCTTTAATCTGAAGATTCTAGGAAACTTTTTCCAGAGATCTAATGATCTCACACCAGGGCGATGCTTTACCCGATCTTTGCTGCTCGGACTGGTCCGAGAACATTTTCCAGGTTCTGCTGAGAATTAGGAACGCTGCTTTTATTTTCAGAAATTACAAAAAGGGAAGAGAACTGAAATAAAACAGTTAAAGCTGGTGTATTAAACATTTATTCTGTTACCTCAAATTTGTGGGTGAACATCTAGAAAAAAAATACATCTCTCTCTCTCTCTCTCACACACACACACACACACGCACGCACACACACGAGAGACTCTTTAAAGTGCAACAACAGACGGACTTCAGAGACTTTAGGGCCAAGGCAGGATCATTGTAATACTGGAATGGTTGTTGGAACTTTTCTCTCTCAGATGGACAAAAAAAATCAAGTTTTCTTTTTTATTCATCAAGATAGAAAAAAAAGAGCAGGAAAGGTGAGAAACTATCTGGTCTGGTTCTGGGAGTTTTCACCTGATGGAAAAACAAACCACTGAACAGACGAAACGTTCGGATTTCCATCAATTCCTGAACAATCAAAAAAAATTTAAATACAACCATGATCAATGTTAAACAGCAGTTTGAAACTAAAACCAGCTAATATTTGATCTTTTCAGTACTCATACAAACCATCTACAGACACCAGACTCCATATGTTGTTAAAAATAAAACCATTTTAATCCAACATCTGAGCAAAGCTGAAGAAAATAAACTAAAATCTTCTCAGATAAACATTTTGTGGCCTCGTGGTTTAGAGCTTTCTGGACTTCTATTAAAACAATTTTAAAAATGACCAATCTAACCAATCAAAACACCCCAAAACAGACAGCCTCATCAAATACTAAATATTCCCATGATTTTCAAATTTGTGATAGAAAATGAACTTAAATTATGAACTTCAAGTGGTTAAACATCTCCGTAAAAAAAAAAAAGAGTAAATAATCAGGTTTAATGAACACAGGAAGCTACAACAAAGATTTTCCTGGTAAATCTGAGATTTTCTGACTTCTGGTAGCATCACAGTCATTCTGCTGTTTAACCCACTTAACAATTGGATTTCTTTAACAATCTGGAGGTTTTCAGAAGAGTTCCTGATCCAGGAAATGCGTTATTTATTTATTTATTTTTTTACTTAAAAGCTGAACCAATCAGAGATTAGCACCTGAACCTTGGCACTGAGATGAGTCAGAGCTGGGTTCAGGTCAGAGAGGAGGATGGATAAGATGAAGAGTCACTAAAACAAATGCGACACAAGAGGAGGTGAAACAGCTCAATTCGAGCTTCTTTAACCATAAAACCACAACAGCTTTTTATTCTAAATTACCAAAACATCAAGCCTCAACGACTCACAGCATCACAGACTCATCAGTGGTGGAGCAGCTTCAATTCGTTAAAATACTGAGGTCCCCTCTTTTCAGAATTCACTTATCGTCACAGCCGAAAGACCAGAAATCAGTCAAATTCAAACAGTTTTGCTCTTAATTTGTTACAAAACAAACAAAAAAATGTGCCAAGAACTTTTAGAACACGTAGTTTGGTGTTTATGTCATCAACAAATCCCACAAAAAGACAGACATCAGGTGGATGCTTCTACAGCTGCAAGAAGGTCGAAGTTCACCTGTGTTTCAAATAAATGAATAAAGACCTCAAAAAGGCTGTAAGGTGTGTTAATGTTTCTGAGCTGAAGGAAAATGTCAGCGTGGAAATAATCGGTGTTGCCGTTTCCTGGGAATTTAACAATAAAACCATCAGTGTTCAGCCAAAGCGATGATCTCACTGCGACTCATCAGTGGCTCCAAACTGTGGCTGAATGAGGTAAATGAAGGTCCTGACGCCTGCGGTTCCTCACGTCTTCTAACAAACATTCAGCGATTTGGCAGCCGACCAGAGCCGAAGCTGGCAGAAGTCAGAGTCTTCCTGTGATAAGAAGTCTGATTGAGTCTTGTTTCCTCCTGTTGGCAACAGCAGAGAAAAAAAAACCAAAAAGCTGCAGCTGCAGAGCTTTTCCAGAGGAACTCCAACATTGGCTTCTCTCTGGATTTCCATCTTAAGACAGAGCGATGGAGAGAAAGCAAAGTGCTTTCAACATCCCCCCCTCACTGTCCGTCCGTCCCTCTGTCCTCCTGTCTTGGTCAGCATCTTAGTCTGTGTTGCCAGTGGGGGGTGCTGTTAAGACGTCTTTCCCAGCTCTATCTTCTTCTGGATGGCCCTCGCTGAGTGGTAGATGAGTGAGTCGATCAGACCACCCACTGAGCAGGTCAGAGCAGCCAGTTAGCTTCATTTATTAGCCACATTCAAATAAATTCTTCTCAGGTCTAAAACATGATCACACAGAGGGACTGACCTGTAAAAATGCCTCCGATGATGGCACAAACTCCTGTTAGAAAGTGTGTGAAGGATCTGAACAAACACAGAGGAGATTTAATCAACAGGGTTGGGTATCTTGTACCCTGAACTAAATCGATTAATAACACTTTTATTTATAAAACAATAAATATCTGTCTTTATCAAAAACAGAATCACCTACCTTTGCTTTTCTGTGAATTTAACCATCATAGGTGACAGCTCGTATAAAACAAACATGCCCGGCAGCCCCTGGTCTCCTATTAAGCCATTAGCAACTTTTTCATGCCTGGTGACCGAGAACTGGTTTGTTTTTACCACCTGGGGGAAAGAAAAAATACATAAAACATTAAACAGTTACTAATCCAAGTAATCTGTGCTGTAAAAAATGTACTTATTCTAATTTATGATACATAATCTGTTTATAAAATAAAACAGAAAAAAAATTCAACAGTTTAATAAATAGAATAAAAACAAGGTTATAAAAAATGAAATTACTCACCTCTCCATCAGTTTTTACATATATGGTTGGCACAATTTTCACAAAATACTGGTACATCATTGATGCTGTGAAAGGAAAAGTTTTACAATTTAAACTATTTTTGTAATATAATGTATTGTTGTACTCTAATGTAAAATATTTCAGAGAAAGCAAATACCTTTAGTCATGAATAGTTATAATTGAGCTTTTTATTGGCAGATCGAGTGTTTGGCAGTATGATGTTTTCACTATAACAAGTCATAAAAGCTGGATTTGCATTTAGATTTTTATGAACTCAATTTCCAGTGAGAACTAATAAAGTACACCACATGGTGGCGCTGTTAATTTATAGTCTGTCTATTTTCTTCTTCTACCCGGAATTAGGGGTCTGCAAAACCATCGACAACACGCTCTAAAGAAGCTGTGGCCGGAACACGTAAACTTTTAAGTCCACAGACAAATCATCGTCATCGTTATAGTCAAATAATTCAAGGTAAGTTCGGTTTTAATGCAAATTATTTTAAATTTGATGAGAAATCTGAAAACGTGAGACTTCTCAGTCAAGGCCACAGAGGACTTTAGCATGCTAAGCTAGCACAACAAAGTGCGTGGCTTAAAAGAACTGGAATGTTTTGCTCTTTGAGGTCAAACCAGACACGCAAACATGCGACTGTTCGGGTCTTAAGGCCATTAAGATGGTGCTTATCAGCTGTAAACTTTAATTGTAATCCTGCTAAAGACGTAGCTATGGTTAGCTCCTACATGATCAAGCAGTCTTCTCAAAAACAAGCCATCAGCTTTTGTACAAAACGAGGCTTTGGCTCAAATTGATTTAAATAACTTCTGATTGTCTAGTTTATCTTGTTTAAGAAATTCTAATCATTTTAATACAAACTGGCTAATCGAACATAAGATCTTCATCCAAATAATATTGAATGTTTGTGTAACACACAGAGAGACTGTTTAAAGGGTTTCTATAGAAAAACACTGGGATTCTTAATCTTAAAGCAGCAATTGGGGCTGGAAGTGTTTCATAAGTTTTACTTCATTTTGTTTTATACAGGCAGTAAGTGCTGCAGATAATCTGGCAAAAAAAAAAAAACCAAAACAAATGGTCAACATACCAATCTTAATTTCATCAGCGTTGCATTGTGTGTGTGTGTGTGTGTGTGTGTGTGTGTGTGTGTGTGTGTGTTTCAGTGCTCTTTGAACTGTACGACCAACTTGGCTGGTCTAACTTGTTTAGCTATGTGAGGCAAACAGAACATTCCCGGAATTATAAGTTATACGCCTTTCAAAGCTTCTTTTTATAAACTGTGCCACACAACACCACACATGCAGACCCCATCAGACACCGTAGAAACCGATCTTAATGACCATGATAATTAAGGCACAATGAAAAGGCTTATTAGGTATAGTTTTACACGTTAAAACTATTTAAGCACAAACTGGACAAGTGGAAATCAAATTATGTTTTTACATGAATCACTTTGTGTTAAAGTCCTATAGGACCTGACTGGATTCAAACCCTGATCCACTGCTGTGGAGGAAGTTTGCTACACAATGATGTTAGTTGAAGACTTAGACATTTGGTTTCTAAGAATACATTTAGAGTTTGGTCTTTTTTTCTGATATTAGATAAAGTTGAAGCTTCTGAACACTTGATTGAAAACTGTAAAGTTACAGGACTTCTCCTTGATGATTTATCTCAACACAAAGCTCAGTTAATTTTAATTTGCCAGTCAAAACAGAGTCTGTTTCAGTGACTTTTTTTATTTGAATTAATTGACCAGGAGGTAATCACTTTCAGTGCAAATAGCTTCAAAAGTTGCTTTCTTTTCTCCTCAGATGCCAGTCGCTGTAGGTCCGTACGGCCAGACACAGCCAAGCTGCTTTGATCGGGTCAAGATGGGTTTCATGATGGGTTTTGCAGTAGGAATGGCAGCTGGGGCCATGTTTGGCACCTTTTCCTGCCTCAGGTAAAAAGGAAACTATACTGATCACTGTACTGCCAATCACCCACATTCAGAACCTAAAAACACCATCTGATATTTAACAGCCGGTGCTCGTCTTAAAGGAAGATCAAGTTTTCAGAACAATAGGTCACTTTTCAGCTCTGACCGTTAATCATATCCGAGTTGTTCATCTCTACGCCCGATGGGTTAAAGTTAGGAGAGGGATCAACTTTATTGTCCCCTAAGGGCGAAACATCCGATCACCCCTTATCTGTTGCTTTTGATTGATTTTGATTAATGATTTGCTGATTGACGAGTTTCCTGAAGACTAATTTTTCGACTTAATATTTGAACAAGTGAGATGAGAATGTTTTATTATGAGATGTGGAGAAATCAGGACCTGAAGTTAAATGTTATGTTTCCATTCCATCTTAAAGCAGAAGAGACCTTAGATTGACCTTTTTTTTCCTGCAGGGTGGGCATGCGAGGCAGGGAGCTGATGGGAGGAGTCGGGAAGACCATGATGCAGAGTGGAGGAACGTTTGGGACCTTCATGGCCATCGGAATGGGCATCCGCTGCTGAGGCTGGTGGAGAACAGCCGTCTCCACCCTCTGATATTGTACAGCCATGGGACTTTCCTAACTACAGCTTTGTCATCTTCCCAGATTTTCTCTAGTGCTTTTTTTTTTTTCTTATAAAATTTTTAATTCATCCAATTATTTTCAGAGGAGCTCAACTCTGCTGATCCAACTGGAGCAAAAATCTAACCAGCTTCAGTCCCCCCCATAAACCTGAGAATGTTGGTTTGAACATCATTTAAATGATATTAGACTAAAAAAAGAACACAAATGTATCAAAAAGATGTTTTTCCCCCAAATTACAATAAAATTTATTACATAGTAGCTCATTAAAGTTCTGGTCCCTTATTGTGGGGATTATCTCTTTAAAGGGTTTGACACCAAAAGATTTAATTCCTACAGACTTCTTTTTAAAAGGTTTGTGACTAAAGTTTTCTTTTAAGACGAGCGATCGTAGAAAACACGAGACGGACTCTACTGACCTTGTGGAGCCATGACGTTGGTTCCATCCAGAGGATTAACGATGCCGGGGTAATCTTTACCAAACGACAGGTGTTTGATCAGATGGGTCATGTTTATCTGCAGCACAACAGGAGGAGGTTAAAATGCAGCAGAGCCGTTTTATTTATGTCAGCAGGTTTTAAAATGTCCTACAGAGTTTGGTTTTAATTGTCAGAAGCCCGATTTTACAAATGGACAATTATTGTGTTAATTTATTAATATTAAAAATAAACACGAGTAACCATTCCTGATTGTTTTTTAAAACTTGATTAATGAAATTTGGCTGTTTTCTTTATCTAAATGGTTTCTATTTATTATAAAAAGTTTTGAAACAAGCTTGCTTCTGTTACTTACGTTGTCTAGGCCAAAACTCTGCAGATCGTGGACTGAAAAAACAAATATGTTTAACATTTTTATAGGGAAAATGTACATAAGTGAAGAAAATACAAAGCATAAATCCAGGAGCAGTAAATAAGTCTTCAGCAAAGAGTGAAAACTCTCTGATCCTCCAGGATCTGGACAACAAGACGACATTTAAGCTTTAATCAGGCATTAGGCACCACGTCTTTAATCATTACAGAAAAATCTTATTCCTGCTGAGTGAAATCAAAATGCTGTTGAGTTCATAGACACTACAAAACACATTTCACCAGTAAAATCTGTATTCATCATAAAATGTCACACTTTAGGTCAGGAACAATGCACGTAAGCTCATTAAGTAACTATTTTTATCGTGGAACAAAAACTGGTCTTGAAAATAAAGATGGACTTACTTTCCACAGCGTGGACTGCAGAAAGAAGAGAGAAGAGTCACAAGAATAGTGCAGTAGACATCAAAACGTGTGATTTGTGTTAAAGAAGGCTAACAAAAGGGTTCCTGTTTTAGCAACAATCAGCTGAGTTCACCAATGTTTACGTAAAGATGTTGAAAAGGTGATTTTTGGGGGTTTTAAAGGATCAGAAGCTTCATTCTAGTTGGACTATAAAATATTTTACATCATATCAAATTCTCATCAAGTAGGATTAGATAAATCCATTTTCTGTGCCAAGAACTCTGAGAACGTAGAAGCAGAAGAGAGCCTGCAGCCCCGCAGACGAGACACCGACGCGAGTCCAGGACCTGGTCCGAGTGATTCTTATCTCTTGTTTCTGCTGCTGAGCGTTAAATCTTTCACCACGTCTGGGATAGGTTCAGAGACGACCACGTTTTCAGAGCAGGAAACTAAAATCGGCTCAGGTCAGTCAGAGATTTATGCAAAAGCCTGTTTTTTTGGAATTTTTAATCCTGAAGTTTCCTGAGCTTTTAACTTCCTGCTCTGATTTGATGTTACATGCTGAGTAAACATAATAGGGAGCCCAAGTCACACCCATCTACTTGCAGACCATGGGTCCCCAGAAGTCAATGGGGACATAAACGCTGTTCTCTAATTCCGTTTTTGTGCCGTGGATTTCCCATCTGTGTCAGAATTTTAGAGATGCATTTTGATGCCAAGAAAGTTATTTTAGGTTTTGTGTGAAAACACGTCCAGGACTACAAATGTGCATCACTAAATTGACATCATCAAACCAGACACGAAGAAGGACAGAGGAAAAATGGCTGTAAGTTTAGTGAGCTTTGAATCCTTCATCCATGAGGAAACCATGAATCTGGCCATGTGGTAAGTGGGACATTCTGTGGTGACGTCCCCACATCTGATTTATAGTCATAAGAACTACTAATTTTTACAAGCTGATAAATGTCAAAGCATGTGACTGTTGTGGTCAAAATACCAATCATTACTCATTATTTAAGTTGAAGTACAACGTATGTGATCCAGGGCGTAAAGCAAAGCAGATTAGAAAATAGCTTTTAGTCTCATTGACTTGCATTCATTTTTTCATTCTTCCAGGGACCCATGGGCCAACTGGAAAGGGGAGGAGGCTCGCTATAGAGAAAAACAAACAATGATGTGACAAAAAAGGCAAAAACCGGGTCCTAATTAAATCTCACCGACTCCTCCTGCAGTCGCTCTGTAAATTAGAACCCCGTTTAAAGCGATTCAGGTCAGATTCTTCCATCTTTGTACAGCAGGGGCCACACCCCTCACCGCTGAGCTGGGGCCAAACTGTTGTTTTATTTATCACACTTGTAGTGATTTTTGATTCGAAATTGAAATAAAATTTAAAAAAAGCATTAAAAGAAGTTAATTTTGCATGAAACTTAGAGAAGTTCTAGTTCAAAGATGAGGATTGGGTGCATGACAAGCACTGCTGGTCAAACTGGCTTGTGAGCCCTGCTGTACAGTATAATCTCAGGATGTGGGTGAGTGGAAACAAAACAAATGAAGATGGACACAAACACCATCCAAAAGGTTTGGAACACCCTTTATTCTCATGCCAGTAGAGAAAAAATGAACCAGGAAAAAGTCTGGAGAAGAAAAATCTGTCACTTCTCAGAGATGCTTTAGACGGCTAACGCTACTCTAAAGCAGACAGACAACCATCCAAAATGCTTTTTTTATTATTATTTATACACATTCATTTTCAGGTTTGTGAGTTAAAGCTGATTTTTCCTCAGACAAACTGACAAAAGGGTAGGGATGTCCCGATACAATGTTTTCATATCCAGTACGATACCAATATTACAGCCTTCAGTGTTGACCGATACCGATATCAATCCCATACGATATCAGCAATAATCAGGCATACTTTTACCTATTTCACTGTGTGGAATGTATGAAAGGCATGATCAAGTGCTATTCCTCAATCGGAGAACAAGAGGGGGGTGATGTGTATTTGTTTAGTCATGTGACAGTGGTTGTAATCATCTCAGAAGCATATGTGTGTGGTGTGTGTGTGTACATAATAATGTAAATTCTACTTTAATAAAAATTTTCCTTCTACACAAAATCTGCTTTTAGAAGGATTAATGTCAGTATATCGGAATCGGCTAATATCGGTTATCGGCCATAACAGTGATATTAATATCGGATATTGGCCCAAAAATGTCATATCAGTACATCACAAATGTTTTTTAGCCATTGGTTGCAAAAATGTGAACCTTAACTCATTCACTGCCAGCCGTTTCCTGATCGCTAATGGCCTTCGCTGCCAGCGTTTCTCATGGTTTTTACTGTTTTTTTAAGAGTTGCAGAACGTTGCGCGCTAGGATGATGTCGATGCCAAAACAACCAAAACAAAGAGGAGACTCACCTCTTACATCAGGAAGAATCCGCGTGATTCGAGCGTTATCCGTTCTTTCATAATCCGTTGTTGAATTGTGATCGGCAGACGCTTTTCCGGTTCGCGCCTCACTTTTTTTACAGGAACGGCCCAAAACGATCTCCTAACACATGGACGGTCTGCTTCCTGATCATGTGACGTGTGACGTATGCGGATGAAGATCGGCTTCAGGGCTGAGATGTTTGTTCTCTCAGCGCGGGGGCTCGTTCCGATGCTCAACCAGTAAAAAAATGCCAATGACGGTTGGATCTAAAATGACGACTTTAGCCGTCAATGGCAGTGAATGAGTTAACGGACTGCTTACATCTGAGATTTTGATGCAGTCCCACATAACCTGATGGTGTTTTTAGGCCGATATCAATATCTGAACAGGACACCCCTACTAAAAGGCGTTTAAATGTTTGGTTAAGCAGGACTGAAAGGCGGAGACGAGGAAGCAGCTGCTCTTACCGTGAACGTGAGACTGCTGGAAACTTTTTCCAGGTGCAAAGTGGAAATTTCCTGCCACCTAACAAGAGAAGAAGGTTTCACATTTGAGTATGAGTTTAAAAAAGGGCAAAGAGACTATAGATATAACGTATTTTCTAAAGAATAACAAGGTGAAAGATAAATTCTACTTTTCCATCTTTCACCTGCAGGAACAACATTTTATTCTCACAGAGCTCATTTTCAGTGGAAGCAAAAAAAAAAAAAAAACAACAAAAAAAAACAATGTGGTGGATTCTGTTTTTTACTTAAAGACCAAGTTCACTCATTTTTTCCAACACATCTGCAGTGGTCTCTAGTATGAATGAATGTCCTTGTTCGAGTTGAGCAGCGCCTTGCCTGGAAAACAGACGACAGCAGGGTGAGCAGCTGAAAGCCGGCGTTTAAGTCGGACAGATTTCCCCACATGAGTAGCTCGCGAGTGACGATGGAGGAAGAAGATATCGCGTTAGCGTTCATACTTGTTTATTTATTTTAATTCTGGTGCCTGTTATCAACCGAAACACATCGTCACGTGCTTGTGGATATTATATATTGTACATGGAGATATGACTGTAATAATAAGTAAATGTTTTCAGCTGTGGGTTTAGTGTGCTCATAGGAAACGTGACAAAACAACACAAATCACATTTCTCTTTATGGCCTATATAGTTATCATCAATGTCACATGATTTACAGAATACATGTGACCAACTAACATTTCACATTCTACCAGCGGATGTTTGGATCAGAATGTTAACCAATCAGATCTTAGATTAGGTGAGTGCCAGGCGTTTCCCGTCATGCCCTAGGTTTTGCAGCCGGTGGAGAGCACCTGCCCTCTCCGTGGGCTGCCACCTTACCGTGGTGGAGGGGTTTGAGTGTCTCAATGATCCTAGGAGCTAAGTTGTCTGAGGCTTTCTGCGTCTGGTAGGGTCACCCATGGCAAACAGGTCCTAGGTGAGGGATCAGACAAAGAGCAGCACGAAGACCTCTTATGATGAATTATATAAATGGAAACCATGTTCCCTCGCCCGGACGTGGGTCACGGGGGCCCCCCTCAGGAGCCAGGCCTGGAGGTGGGGCATGTTGGCGAGAGCCTGGTGGCCGGGCTTTCACCCATGGAGCCCGGCCGGGCACAGCCCGAAGAGGAAATGTGGATCCTCCTTCCCATGGGCTCACCACTCGTGGGAGGGGCCAAAGGGGTCAGGTGCAGTGTGTGACGGGTGGTAGTCGAGGGCGGGGACTTTGGCAGTCTGATCCTCGGCTACAGAAGCTGGCTCTTGGCACATGGAATGTCACCTCTCTGGTGGGGAAGGAGCCTGAGTTGGTGTGTGAGGTTGAGAGGTTCCAACTAGATATAGTCGGACTCACCTCTACAAATGGCTCTGGAACCAGTTTCCTTGAGAGGGGTTGGACTTTCTACCGCTCTGGAGTTGCTCCTACTGAGAGGTGCTGAGCAGGGGTGGGCATACTAGTTTCTGAGACCATGGTCTTGGTTCAGAAAAGGGTAGAATGCCTTCTCCGGGTCAGGGATGAGGTCCTGCCCCAAGAGGAGGAGTTTAAGTATCTTGGGGTCTTGTTCACGAGTGAGGGAAAACTGGAGCGTGAGATCGATAGGCGGATTGGTGCTGTATCTGCAGTGATGCGGGCGTTGTACCGGTCTGTCGTGGTGAAGAGAGAGTTGAGTCAGAAGGCGAAGCTCTCGATTTACCGGTCGATCTACGTTCCTACCCTCACCTATGGTCATGAGCTTTGGGTTTGACAGAAAGAACGAGATCACGGATACAAGCGGCTGAAATGAGCTTTGTCCGAAGAGTGGCTTGGCTCTCCCTTAGAGATAGGGTGAGAAGCTCGGTCATCCGGGAGGGGCTCTGAGTAGATCCGCTGCTCCTCCACATCGAGAGAAGCCAGTTGAGGTGGCTCGGGCTTCTGGTCAGGATGCCTCCCTGATGAGGTTTTCCGGGCACGTCCAACCGGGAGGAGACCTAAAGGTAGACCCAGGACACGGTGGAGGGACTATGTCTCTCATCTGGCCGGGGTATACCTTGGGATTCCCCTGGAGGAGCTGGCCAAAGTGGCTGGGGAGAGGGAAGTCTGGGCCTCTCGCCTTAGGTTACTGCCCCTGCGACCCAACTCCGGATAAGCAGATGAAAATGGATGGATGGATGGATGGATGGATGGAGAGCAACTGCAGTGCCTTGCTCCAAAATCTGCAGCCACCTTGATCTCATTAGGTTATCGTTGCCTACGTATGCATGACGTCGGAGCAAGTTGGCGTAAAGCCGGACACAAATCTAACCGGCATGCACTGCGTGCTGATCTAATCTGCGCAGAACTGGCTCATCTCGAACAAGGCCAATGCTTTGAGTCGATCACTGTAGAAAAAAAAAAGCTGTGGCGCTCCTGTTTCAGGAACTAGAGGTTAGCCTGAGCAGAACACAACAGTATTTGGAGTCTTTTTTCCTGATATTTGATTGGCTAACAGCAACGTGACTCTACCACTGACTGTTTGCTCTGCAGCGTTGATTCTTTATTTTCACAAATAACACAAGCCTGGAGGAGTTCTGCTGTGTGGTGGAGATGCTAATGCTAATAGTTAGCTTCTACTAGCTGAGACATGCGCTGCGGTTTCCTGCACGTTAAACCAACAAAAACCTTCCCGTCGTGAGCCAAGATGGGCGAGTCCATGGATGTTAAGTGACAGTGTGACATAGATCTGTCAGGATAGTTTCATCGTCTATTATCTATAAGAAGCTAACGCAGGAGATAGGTGTAGGAGACTATTTCATGTTCAGCCTGCATGAAACACTTAAGCCGGGCGGACACTGTGCGACATTTTCACTTTTTTTCCCCTTGTGCGAGAATCTACAAGATTGGGGCGAGTTTTGCACTGAGCGTTGTGTAGTATACAGGGCAAGAGGCGATTAACCCAGGGTATCTGCAGGTTTAAGGGAGCCAAATTTAAGACTTTTTAAGACCTTTTTTTAAGGCCACTTTGACCAAATTTAAGCTATTTTTAAAATTAAATTTAAGCTATAATTTGGGGATTAGTTACCATTAAACTTGCACTTCCCCATGGCGCAAGCTCCCACTAGCTTAACCAGCTAATGTGCTCATCTAAAAATAGCCCCCTTTCACAACCAACTGAATGTGTACGGTTTCGCTTACGCCAACATTGTACACAAAAAATGCTGAACACTAACTAGAAATTCACGAAAATTTTTATAGAAATAAAATAATCTTGTTTATTGGGTCTTTGGTAATTTAAGACGTTTGGAAACTGGATTTAAGGATTATTTGTCATTTTTAAGGATTTTCAAGGCCTTAAATTTGGAAAAGCAAATTTAAGACTTTTTAAGGACCCGCGGATACCCTGTAACCAGAACCGCGCACAGCGCATGCGCAAAGTTGCGTGAACACGGCTCATAGCCATTTCCCTATTAACACACTTTGTTTGTTTCTATTTCTACACTTTTTTACTCACACAATGACAAGGAATGTCAAGAAAGAGTGTTTGCTGTGTTTGTCAAATTAAACAGACAAAATATTGATCAACTTTCTTTCGTTTTCCTCCTCCAACCCCCACAATTCCCTGTTCTCCTACAGCATTCCCGAAGGACAACTGACATCACCAAAAAAGTCTGAAGTGTTGTGTACAAACAGCTATTTTTAGGTTTGACACTTTGCTACCAGACGTACAGTGTGAGCAGGTTTCATCTGAGAACTGGGTCGTACAGTGTGAGCAGGTTTCATCTGAGAACTGGGTCGTACAGTGTGAGCACATGACGCGTGAGATTTGCTCTAAGAGGAAGTCGTACAGTTTGAGCTGAAGCTGGCTGCTATGAGTGAAAAAGTCGCACAATGTCCGCCTGGCTTAAGAGTGACTGACCATCTTTCAAAAATAACAAAATCCTGATGAGGCATGGCAGAGAGGAGCAGGATCACCTTGTTGACCTCCAGGAAACCGTAAACCTGACAGCCTTCGTTCTTCTGCTCCATCATCTTCTGCGTGAAACCTTCTCTCTTGCACTGCACAATGGTGTCGGCGTTTTTGAATGCCCAGCCTCGCCGCCGGTACGCTTCCCGTACGTCATCGCAGGTGTTACAACACCTGGACACGCCGAAGGGGGATGGGTTAAATGGGTTAAGCAGCAGAGCCTGAGTGTGTTTTTGAGTGTGTCGGAGTTTACCGGAGGTCCTCGGTCTCTGCACCGTAGCAGCTCTCACATCTGTTCGGGTCCAGAGTGCTGGGATCAAAAGCTTCACCGTCCTCAGCTTGACCAAGTTCTGCAACACAAAAAATCATCAAAATCGTATCTGAAAGTAAAAAAATACACAACAGAATCAAAGTTTACCGTGCTTTTCTGCTTCATGGGTGACAGGTTTGAGGTCCTTATCCAGCCGCTGTTTGAAGAGATTGTGTTCGACGTCCAGCTGCTGCTCACCAGCCACGTCCATCGCATCGATACTGAGATCTGAGAAACAGAATCAGTACCAATTAGCCAGTTAGCTTCACCAGCAGTGGGTCTACTCTAGCAGCAGCAGCACTTACAGGCACAGGGCATGTGAGGGAAAACCACGTCGATGTTGATCTTAAGTTTGTCTCCTCGCGACGTGTCCACGTAAAGCTCAGGGTGGACCTGTGGGAATAACCAAAACTGTAATCAACACACAGAAATGTCAAAACGGATACAAGAATCGTAGAAATAATCCCTGATGTGAAAAAAAAATCTCCCATTTGAATATATCTCTACTTTTAAAAGCACTGCAGAAACCTGAAGTTTTCATTGCATCATATAAGGTGGAACCTGAATTCTATCGGACAACTTTTAATTTAAAACAAATAGTTTGCTGGAAAAGATGCCAGCTTCTAATGTTCATTTATTTATTTCACCAATAAATGAATTTTATAAAGCTTCCAAATGATGTTCTAGTACTAATAACCTGTCTGCTGCTGGTTTCCTCCAGCCAGCCAGGGCCCATATCCCAGATATGGACCTAAAAGCAGATTTATACAGAAAGAAATGAGAAAGCGTTTTCTACCATTTCAGACCAGTCTGACAAGAAGGAAACATGAAAACACAAAAGGTTGCATCGGTGACCTAAAACATCTGAGTTTATTTGTCTGAAACTGAAAATTACTCCAAAAATATCTGAATTTTAAATAATTGACCAAATTTGTCCAATCAGACATTAAGATTTCAAATGTTTAGACATGTTTGTGCTGACAGACTTAAAACAGGAGTTTAGGAGTAAAACCTGTCTGAATGCTGCTGCCGACGGAGGACAATCTGAGAGTGATGGAAGATGCTCCAACTATATGGATGAGCTCACCTCTTTGGTAAGGTAATACTGCAGCTCTGAGACAAACAGGATTAACATGATGACACCACTGATGATGGTCACTATGGAAACAGAGAGGAAGTACAGATGTTAGAAATCCCAGCACCCTTTAAAGCCTGCCTCAGATTATTATTTTAGACAGAAACGTTTGCTTTTAGGTCACTTTTATGACCTTTTGTGTTTTGTAGATAAGACTAAATAACTATTTCATTAAAATATTAATAATAAACAATCTACATTAGTCACCAACAGTATAGAGGATTACACAAGTTTCGGGCTACATTTGTCAGGTTGTCTAGTCTACTTTACATGTTGTCTAGTAACAGAAAGGATGCAGATGCGATCCCGGCTTTGGACAGAGAATTCTGCTGTTGTGTTCTTGGGCAAGGCACTTAACCCACATTGCCTGCTGGTGATTGTCGGAGGGACCAGTGGCGCCAGTGTATGACAACCTTGCCTCTGTCAGTGCGCCCTAGGGCAGCTGTGGCTACATCGTAGCTCATCACCATCAGTGTGTGTGAATGGGTGATTGGTGCATTGTAGTGTAAAGTGCTTTGGAGTCCTCTGACTCTGAAAGGTGCTATACAAGTGCGGGTCATCATCATTTTGAAGGAGCAAACCAAAAAGACTCAGTTTGGATGCAGATTGTTTGGTCAATTTGTCTGGGAAAATGAGGAGTTCAGTGTAGATGGAGCTGGTGGGCCCTCGTTTACTCTAATATGTCACAGAGACAATCTGAGACTCATGCGGACAATAAATGGTCACATTTCAAACAGAGAGTTGCCTTTATTGTGCATTTTGATTTGTAGGATTAAATCAAATGATTAAGAGAAAGAAGAATTAAAGTATCACCAAATTGAATGAAGGCTAGAATAGCTTTAATTCAGTTTGCTCTTAAATTTAAAAAAATGTATTAAAAACACAACCCTGTTTATAGAAATTATATTTGTTTCCAACATCTGGTTAGTGAAAAAAAATCTAAATATTCCGAAAAGACTAACGTATTTATTTTAATCTTTAACATCTAAAACAAGCAATTCTCAATTTATTCTGAAAATGAGCTATTAATCCCCACAGTGTTCTTTTTAATCTATCAACTCGGTTCTTCAACCCCATTCAACAAAATCAAAATCATATTTTAACCCAATAAATAAAAGTTCAGAACAATAATCAAATAAAAAAACAGCCCAAAGAAAATAAAACCTAACAGGACAAGTTTCTCCTTGTGTCCAGATTAAAATGTAAATCTTCCGCACACAATCAAACTAAGAAAACATTCTGTGAATGAAAAACAATCATTTTTCATCATCAAAAAGTTTCATCTATATTAACTGAAGATTTGTGTGTTAAATGTACATTAGCTAAGTTATGACTAGGCTAGCAGTAAATCTGCTTCACAGCAGCATTATAGGTGTTAAACAAGACGACATAATTCTATTTCACTGTTTGGTCATCGCCTTAAGAGATATGTCGCTAATTTATTCAGATAATTATCAAAAGTTTGTAATCGTTTAAAATAAAAAAAGAATGATTTAGCCATGCTAGCAGATTGCTTTCTGATGAATTAAAGCCGTTTTACCAGCCGCTCCTCCCCACGTCTTCACACGAAAATCCTCCAAAGTTTTGGGATAAGCGTCGAACTGCTTCAGTTTGTTAAACGTGTCCATTTTTCTATAAAAAGTCACCGATATACAGAAATATTAGCGGCATATGCCTGCACTACAGATACACATCGGTCCTTCGCGTTCGCTTCCGGGTCAGGTGGGACACAGATGCACCAATCAGTGTCGGCCGCGTCATTTTCAGCTCCCCTTTTCTTCTTTAGTCAAAAAACAAGAATGGTGGACTCAATTTTTTTGATTTTAATATTTTAAACAACACATTCAAAATTAATTGGATTAAACATTATTTAAAAGACCCAATGTCTATGTGGAATATCATTTCCCATCAAATCTTCTCTAAGCTGGGTGGACTAAAATTTCTCTTAATGTGCAACTACAATATTGAACGTATACCTCTCTCTCTCTCTCAAATTTTCATAAACAAATGTTATTGGCTTGGTCTCTAATTTATAAGCATAACTTTTCTCCTAATAATTACCTTATATGGAACAATAAAGACGTCTGTTACAAAAGGAAATCCTTATTCTTTGACAATTGGTTTAGGAATGGCATTATAAAGATCAATCAGCTCTTTAATAAGGAAGGAAATTTATTTACTTATCAAGAATTTCTTTCTCATTATAAAACTCCTGTAACCCCTAAAGAATTTGCTATTGTTTTCGACACTATTCCATCTGGTGTTATCATGCTTTTCAAAAGTTATACCACCCCACCATCTAACATGACCCCTTTGCCTGATCCAAGTGACACATTTATAGGGAAACTTTGTTTTCTATCGAGATTACGGCCAAATAAGCAGATTCGCTCCCTTTTTCTAGCTGATTGTGTTTCTGTACCACATGTTCTCCCTAAATGGAATTCACTTGTTCAATATGTGTCGTGGGAAAAAGTATGGACTCTTCCTAACAGATACTTGCTTACAAACAAAGTCAAAGAAGTCACATTCAAACTCCTTCATCGCTATTATCCTGTTAAAACATTCCTGAGGAGATTCATTAAAGACTTTGATGTATCCTGTACTTTCTGCAAGGAGCACCCAGAAACTATCGACCACTTGTTCTGGACTTGTGAACACACTCGGAAACTATGGCAAGGCGTCTGTAGATTTATATTGGACCATATCCATGAGATCTTTGTATTACATTTTCATAATGTTCTGTTTGGATTTCTAGACTATCAGAGGGATTTGGAAAATGAACTGTTCATATCTAATCTCATCATATTGCTGACCAAGTTTTACATCCATAAATGTAAAGTGTTAAAGATAAGACCTTCCTTTTGTGTCTTGAAAAAAGAGCTTAAGCTTTATTTGAAAACAATCTCCACCTCGAACAATAACAAAGCCATTAAGACACTAAGTCTCTGCTCGAAATTTCAAATCTTTCCATAATTCATACTCTGTTGCATGTCTCGTATTGTTTCCTGTTTCGATCATCATTCTCATGTTTCATAATTTGTATGCAGTAACCCCTGGCGTTGAATCTGTTGGTATGTTTTTGTTATGTTTATACTGTTTCCATGTACTTCATAGTGGATATTGAGTCACTTATGTATATTGACTGTATTGTTAACGAACCAATATCCTAAATAAAGAATTCAAAAAAAAAAAAAAAGTCAAAAAACAAGAGCCCAAAGGTCAACAAGTGTCATAGTGGACTGTCTACAGTAACTGAGAGGCTGTTGAGATGAAAATATACTTAAAAATGTTCTGGTTTCAGCAGAAAAATGAAACAAAATCCTTGAAATTAAAGTAAATACAATTTTTTGGCAAGTCCAAAGAAAGAAATAGGAACATATACTTCCTTTATTCAACTGATGTGTTTTTATTATCTGTATTTTTAAAAGAGCTTAAAACTATGGGAGCCCATTGCTATGGAAGCCCATTCCCGCCACTCAGATAAAAAAAAATTCTTATCTCATAATTATGACTTAGCTATCTCATAATAATGAGATACTAAGTCATAATAATGAGATAGTATCTCATTATTATGAGATAGCTAAGTCATAATTATGAGATAATAATTTTTTTTTATCTGAGTGGCGGGAATGGGCTTCCATATAAAACTTTTGCAAAGAGATTATGTTATTTATTCTGATGCCTGTGGATTTCTATACAATCCCTGCAGAAATTTTTTATGATCACTAATACAAAAATGAAATGAAGATTATATCAGAATTCTAATGCTAAGTGTGTGCATATGTAATATATTGATGCAGTACCATTTCTGCAAGCTATATTTTAAGAAAACATAAAAAAATACAAACTCACCTTCATCAATACATATTTGATAATTGCATTCATCATTTGATGAACTTTGAAAATGTCTAAGCTTTAAACAAGTGAAGTGACATTTTATGAATGAAGACACACAAAAGCAGACCCAAGCTGTAATACCCTAAATAGTTTTATTCAAATCTGAAACAGCTCAAAATATAAAAATCTACTCACACACAGAGATTTGAAATGACACATAAAGTCTAGGTGGCTCATTAGAACACTTTGCCTTTATTTAACATTCGTTTTCCACCTTGATTTGTTTTGAAATCAGACCTTCATCTACATCACTCCTCCTCTTCCTCCACTTTAATCTGGTGATGAGAGGCATGCTCATGGGTGAGCTCATCATCTCCACCTTTCTGCTTAAAGGTCCTCAGGTGACCTATGACCTCTGGCTGCACCCACAGGTCAGTCACAGCAGTCTGAACCAGCTGCAGTCGGGTCTCTCGGAGAGAACGTCTCAGTTTAGCCCGACGGTTCTGAAACCAGATCTGAGAACGACAGAGAGAGAGAGAGAGAGAGAGGGAGAGAGAGAGAGAGAGAGAGAGAGAGAGAGAGAGAGAGAGATGCTTTAACATAGTCACATCTGCTGAAGTGCAACTTCAGAAACTAAAATCAAGATCTAATCTGTTTAATTCATTTGTTTCTTTGCTGAAATTGAATTTCTTTAAAATAATTTCCAAGCATCCATGATCTCTTTGACTCCATCACAACCTTCTGTATAATATTTAGATATTTTATGAATCTTGAACCTGGACTCTGTCCTCATCCAGGTCCAGTTTTTCTGCCAGCTGCTCCCTCAGCTCGATTCCTGGGTAGCAGTTCACCTGGAACACCGTCTCCAGAGCGTTCACCTGGAGCAGAGGGAGGGTCACTTAGATCCTCTTTAGGCTGCCACACTGGTTTGCTGACTGTCTACCTGGCTGTTGCTGAAGGCCGTGCGAGGACGCCGTCCCATGTACCAGCTTGATGTGGTTCTGGGTGGGTTCTGTTGTTCATCTTGATGCTGTTTAAAGCAAAAACTGTTTCCTCTCTTCCTCCCTACTCCACCATCTGAACAAATTAAACAAAAGCAAAATATCACAGCTTATGGACTCACTCTCCCAAAAAGTAGATTGTTTTAGATTTAGAATGAAGCCTTCAGAGTTAATCATCTACAACAGAGTACAACATCAGTCTGTGTGTGTGTGTGTGTGTGTGTGTGTGTGTGTGTGTGTGTGTGTGTGTGTGTGTGTGTGTGTGTGTGTGTGTGTGTGTGTGCGTGTGTGTGTGTGTGTGTGTGTTTGAGAGAATAAATTAGTTCATTTTAAAGGTGGGGAACGCTGATAAAGTCTTTTTTAATGAATATTCCTGATTCTAATCAGCCACTCTGAGGGTTTCATGTGGGCTGAACAAGAAAATAGTCTCCTACAACTATCTCCTGCATTAGCTTCTGATAAAACAGATGGTGAAACTCTAGGATTAGAAAAGCCTGCATGCATGTGTGTGAGTGTGTTTGCGTGTGTATTTCCTAACCTGCCCAAGGTCGATGAAGTTTCAGGCTCCTTTCAGGTTTTTCCAGATCCAAACTCAGAATCCGATCGATGTAAAATGCTGGCTGGCTCAGTTTCCCAGGAGGCACGGAGGATTCCATAACTGTTGATCAGGTCCACGATCATCCAACAGGAAGTAAAAGTTACTCTGATGCGGTGAGACAGAACTAGTTTGGCTTCATGGTGAGAAAACCAGATCTAAATCTGCCTCCGTTGATAATGGGACCTATGAACTCTCCACGCTGACGACAACTGAGGAAATCTGGAAGAGGTTCAGGCATATGAACCAGTAGGATGACAAACTAGTGTCTGCTGGTTTTCATGGGCGTAGAGAATTTACACCAGCCACCAATTAGAACCAAGAAGTCTTTTTCCCATTTGAATGAGATTCCCTGATGCTCCATACAACAGCTAATCTCTGCTAATTGGGTGTTCTGCTGAAAGACAGCTTATTTTAAGTTCTGCTTTCACAAACCCAACTTTTCAGAATTAATACAAGCAGAGCAGAAAAAACAGCCCATCTTAAATTGTCATAAATGCATCTGTGCGTTTTCCCACATGGCACATCCTGCAGGTGTGTGTTTGACACAAACACAAAGCAGAAACTTCCTTTTCTTCTGAATTACTAAAGTAGAAAATCTAGTTTAGTTTCCACTCTAAAAATACACCCGCCCTCCGGTTACTGCAGAATTTAAACTAATAACGATGATAATGAAGGCAATAATAAGGGCCCATGAGATCTACTAATGCTATTAGCCTAATCTGTATGTGTTGTGATGCAGATGAAGCTCATAGCACCTGGATGCAGTTTAAAGCAGCAGGGAGGAAAAGCTTTTCAGGACCAGATTAGTTCCTAATAAAAGTCTACGGCAGCTTTAAATCAACAGCACACTTGCTAATTTATCTCTCTGTGGATGGAGCTGACGACGCCACGAAGAGGAGTCCTTTTAAACTCTGACTCCAGGATCCAGCTGGAGGAAGTCATTAGAGAAAAGAAGGCTGAAGGGAGAAAAAACGCTGGTAAATCATCATGTTGTTTTACCATTTGGTATTTTAAATAAATAAATGATCAATTTTCTGTCAGTTTGATTGCTGAGCTTCAGTGTTTACCTGCTAGGCATCCATTTTATTTATGTAGAGTTAAGAAATGTGTCATTAAACCATTTTGAGAAAACAAGACACCTATTTTTGAACTCATCATCGAAAAGCAATAATAGTGTTGACTTTTGCATTTGTTTTTTTAGGTTTTTTTTAGTTTAGTTTAGTTTATTTCAAACAAAGAAAACATACATAATTTTTTAAAAAGTACCACAAACAGAAAAAATACATATCATCCCTTCTGTGTTTGAAAAGGAGTAGGCTGAAGTGGAAACTTATATATCCCTACCCCTTTATACAAGTAATTTTTACTTGTTTACTTAAATCTAACACAAAACCTACATTAAAACAAACAAAATGGTACAAGTCACCAAAAAACCACCAAATTATATGGAAAAAAAACAAAAAAAGAAAAAAAACCATCTTTTTACAATTGATACAATTTACTTTTCCTTGGAATAAAGGACAACCACATAAATCATCTATTTTCCACTATATACTTGTTCAGAATATGTTTTTTATAATTCATTTTAAACACATTTATATTTGTACTTACTTTGATTTCTTCTTCTAAATTGTTCCATAATTTAACCCCTATTATTGTGATACACATCTGTTTTAATGTTGTTCTAAACTTATGTATCTTTAAGTTTAGTGTCCCTCTCAGGTTATATCCTCCTTCTCTCTCTGTGAACAGTTTCTGTATTTTATCAGGCATTAATTTATTTCTTACTTTATACATTATTTGTGCTGTTTTGTATTTAACCAAGTCCTGGAACTTCATTGTCCGTGTTTTAATAAAAAGTTCATTTGTGTGATCCAAATATCCTGCATTTGTCATACAGATGGGGAAATTAATGTTAGAATATAATGTAAATAATAATAATAATAATAATAATAATAATAATAATAATAATAATAATAATAATATTATAATAATATAATAATAATAATAATCTTTATGTTTATTTTTATTCATTTGGCAGACACTTTTATCCAAAGCGACTTACAATTTATAACCTATAGTGCATGTTGTGATAATAATAATAATAATTATTATTATTATCAGCTGACCTCATTTTTGGAGCACTTGCTGAACTTAGACCTGACCAACTGCAGCAAGCCCAATCATAGCACTGCCCCCACAGGCTTGTACAGTAGGCACTAGGCATGATGGGTGCATCACTTCATCTCCCTCTCTTCATACCCTGATGCTCCATCAGTCTGGAACAGGGTCCAGCTGGACTCATCAGACCAGTTTTTAATAATACATTGGAAAGTTCTGAACCCAGTTTTAGTCGTTTCTGAAATCTTCTTAGATGTTTTCTTTGCTTGATGCACCTGATCCGACCCTTCTCACACATATTTTCGACTATCACCAGATGTGTCTTTCCACATGGTTGTTTAAGAAATGAGAAGCAACTCATTGCACCAGTTTGGGTTAAATACCTTTTTGCAGCTGAAAGATAATCACCCATGCAGTCATTATCCAATAGGATGCTCCTACTTGTGTGTTTATTTAAATCCAGGGTGTGCTTTTTTGGCCAGGCAGTGTAGTTTCTAAATATACTAAATGTTGAGGTTGTATTAACATCTTTGCTCATTAACACCCGTTAAATCGGAGCTCACCTAGGGTTCAGCTAGCTAAAACGTGTTAATGTCAGCTAGCTCATAAACCTGTAAATGGCTATGTTGCTATGAAAAAAGCATGAGGCTTGTGGTTCTGCTTTGGTCTATGCTCATTTCTCAGGTTTGTATAAAATCAAACCATAGAAAATAAAAAAAAATTAATCTTTTTTTCACAATAGGAAAATGTTGTCTGTATTACTCAAAGTCACTAAAACATTTTTTCTCATGCCATCTTTGTGCTCTTGGGGGCCCCCTGGTGGTATGGGCCCCCCTACTCGTGTACACTGTGGAGCAGCTCTGAGAAGAACATAAAAATTGGGTGCCTGAAAAGATCAGAGCAATGAAAAATCAATCAACAGTCCTTTTTTTACTTTTATTGGATTCAACATCTGCTTAAATTTTAAGCCAAAATTAAAATATTAAAATACAAGTTTACATACTTTTAACAAGAACTCATATTTATGAAGTTGTTGCTGTTTAAATAATTTTATGAATGTGGTGGAAGCTTCTGTTTTGGGTCATCCTGAAAATAAAACATGTATACATGTTTGAATAAGAAGATGATGCCCAAACAGAGAAATTTGACATTACTGTCTTTACCTAAGAGACATGAGAGTAATAAAGATGCTGACGAAGGAATGGGAAAAAATTTTACTTCATAACTGGGACACATCATCCACACATTTTGGTGGCTCAGTTTCTAGGACACAGCAACAGTTGTGAGTTTAAACCTAAAATAAACTTCTGTAACTGCTTACAAGCAAAATGATGTTCAAAAATATGAGAATGATCTAAATAACATGAAACAACAAAACAGTACAAAAGAGGTATGAGGTCCACTGGACGGAGAACAACGTTTCATCTTTTTTTGCCTCTTTTACATGAATCTAATTTAGTGCAATGATAGAGGAAAACTCTTGAGTCTCTTTCATGTATCAATAAGGCATATGTGTGAAATTCAACAAACCTAACAGCGAGACATGGAATAGGTGCCTCCTCCTCTGCGTGCAAAAAACCAAAAAGATGTTAAACTAAAATATAAATGTTATAATTTCTTTAATGTTCAACCCACCAGTCTCTGAGCTGGGAAAAAAAGCACATTCGGTTATAACACAAAAAAGAGGATGTGCAACAATCTTCAGGTGCATCAGGTGCCGTTTTTTCATTCATCATCAACAGAAATACTGTAAACAGACCAAACATCTCCTGTGTGGGTTCAGCGCCACTAATCCATTCATCTCCTTTCTTCTGGTGATTCTTCCTTTTACTTTTCCATCCCAGCAGCAGCGTTTCTTTGGTTTCCTCACATTTTCTGTAGAAATCCCATTTTCTATGTATGATTTTGAAACTTTTGGAGGCTTTTTTTTCTTTCTGTAGAAATAGGGTCACAACATCAGCAAAACATCATAATGAATAGGTTTTTTGTGGGTAATAACAACCCAGCTTTGAACATGAACATGAAATAATATATTACAAGGATTATCTGCAGATTTGTGAGAGAAAACAAATTCACTGACTGAGTTTTTTTTAAACAAAACCAGATGTGATGGGAGACTGATCCTGGGTCGAGCTATAATGAAGGAAGTGGGTCTGAAAAAGATAATTAAGGTGCTGCTTAGACCCAAATCGTCACCCCCCAAAACAAAAGACGCCTTTCTGCCTCACCGCCTCATCCTTTCAGGGTTTGGGGAGCTTGGAGTGACCTTGAGAGGGACCCTATAACATTAGTCCTGTCATAGCCATTGCTACAACAGAACCCATCAAGTCTCTGACTCGAGCCCTGCCAGGGGAACCACAAACACAGTGATGTCATCGCCAGAGCCCAGTTTATCGTTGGGGAGCCGCCAGCCACGCTCTTTCAGCACACCTCGTGACCTCATCAGAAGGTCCTGTGCCGCCAGGGTGTATCTGTGCAACACACACACACACACACACACACACACACACACACACACACACACACACACACACACACACACACACACACACACACACACACACACACACACACACACACACACACACACACACACACACACACACACACACACACACACACACACAATGCAAACATATTTAAGATAGATAGATAGATAGATAGATAATCTTTATTGACAGACTCTTAGGTCCAGATAAAATACATATAAAACAACAGATCAATGAAACAAAATAGATAAATAGAATAAAAAGATAACAGCATAAAATTGAATAAAAATCTAAATGTAATTAAAAGCTTTACTATAAACTGTTCCACACAAGGTTAACCACACAAACACTTCAACCAGTATTTCCTTATACTGGAGAAATAGCGACAACTGCTTTAAGTCTGTGCATCATGTAGTAATGGAATACCAAATACTCTATAATAGTGTTTCATAATAAATATTGTATTTAAGATGGACAAAATTCAGGTAAATAATGTTTATTCATTTACTTCACGTTTTGTTATAAACCAATCTTTTCAGTCTCAATCTTAAACCGATCAGTAAATGTCGCCATCTAGTGGACAGAGCTGGTACTGATGTTTCAGTACATCTCATGAGCAAAAACAGCTGCAGCAAAGGCAAAAGTGACAAAGATTTTTTGGGTAAGTACACACCTCATGGGGTCAGAAGGGTCACAGCTCGCCAAGTAAGCCGACACAGCGTCTGCCACGTCCCCGTCCGTTGTTACGTCCCACAGTCCATCTGTGCCCATGACCAAGACGTCATCTGGTCCATGTTTATTTTCACCCAGGTTATAAACCTTTACCTACAAAGGACAAATAAATATGGTGACTTAGTAGTCAATTTTCTAGGTCCATCAGTAACTTTGTCCAAGTGAAAATAACAAAACACACAGAAAAAGTAAAAAGCTGCAGAAACCAAAAACAATCCTGTTATGTTTTACAGAAAAGAGAAAGTGAGACAAGAAAAGGTGGACCCGCAACCACACACAATGGGCAGAATAGGTATTTGACACATCCATTTTATCACCTTGGTAGGCCGTTGACACTAAATTTGCACCAGATGTTTCCATCAAGCCAACTACTGAATTCATACAAAGAAATCAGAACATTTAAGTCCACAAGCTGAGTTATAATAAATACATTTTAAATGAGACAGGGAATAAGTAATGAACACACTTTATTTAATAGTTTGAAGAAAATCCTTTGGGGGTGATTACAGCTTCTAGACACCTCATGTATGGTGAGAACAGTTGTCTACGTTGCTCGGGAGTGATTCTGGTCCATTCTTCCACACAAATGCTCTTTAATCTCGAAGATATCCCGGGCCTCTTTTATGAACTTTGATCTTCAGTTCTCTCTGTAGATTTTCTGTGGAGTTTAGGACAGGTGATTGATTCAAGCAACTTGATTTTCTTTCTTTGAAAGCAGTTGATTGTTTCCTTGTCCTTGTGTCTGGGATCATCTTTCTGCTGAAATGACCATCCTCTTTTCACTTTCAGCTGATGGCAGCAGGTTTTTGTCCAGAATGCCCCTTCTCTATTTATCCTGCCGTCAATGATATGAAGTCAGCCAGTACGCCTTGCTGAAAAGCAGCCCCACACCATAATGCTTCCACCCCCAAACTTAACTGTTATGGTGTTCTTGGGGTGGACAATGCCACTTCTTCTCCAAACATGGTGACCAAAGTACAGTCTCCCAGTAATCCACAGGCTTCTCCAAAAGCTGTTTCACAAAATTTAACCGAGCCTCAACATACTTTTTGTTCAGCGATGGAGTCTTGGTGGGCGTGCATGGTTGCCATGGCAGATCAGTGCATTGCTTATGGTTTTCTTTGAAACAACAGTACATGCTGATGCAAGGTCTTTCTAAAGTTCTGTGTGAGTGGGTCTTGGCTCTTGGAGAACTCTCCCTATTATTCTTTGGACTCCTCAGACATGGATCTTATGTGGAGCAAGAGTAATGAAGTTCAAGGTGTTGAAAGATGCTAAACAACATTGAAAACAATGGGAAAGTTTAGAAAATGCAAAAAAAAAAAAATATTTTTGCCACCGTTTTCTTTCTTCTATTTTTTTACTACCCAGACAGAAAGCTGCTGATAACTGTGGCTCGTGTAGCCTGGAGCATTGACCTCATGTTGGGAGGAGGAACTAGTCCCACAAGCAAGCTTGTTTCCTTCTAGCGGCGTGTGACTTTCACCGCTGTGGGATGACCACTAAGTCCTCATGCTCGAGACTTGTCATGACTAGAAGGAGTGAAACTGTTGAATAAAGGAGAGCCAATTATGAATTTGTGTTTTTATCAGCAGCAACAAAGAAACTGCTGTTATTTAACGAAAACATACTTTGATTAAACAGTTATGATAATCTGACATTTTCTTTCTTTATTTAAAAAAATCCAGACTATAAGCCATATTTAGGTTTTTCAGTGCAAACCAAAAGGCTAGATTTATGGATGAGTAAGATGGTGACAGATTCAGTAAAGTGAAAAAAAAATCCCTTGAAAAAGGATTGATTACCTAATGGCTTTACTATCCAGTGGTAAAAGGGACACATTATGACTTTTTTTAAAAACAAATTATGATAGTTCTATGGTCAATAAAAAAACATGTTCTTTACACCAAATCCCTCCCACATAAAGCTGTTTCAGTAGGTCTATTCTTAATATTTTTAAGTACCTTCCAGAATGTGTCATTTTAAGGCTGACCACGCCCACCCATCACTGCTCAAGCTACTTTACGCTGAGAAGCTCATATCTGGGAAGGGCTCAGTGTAGAGCTGCTGCTCCTCCAGAAGCAGATCTCTCTTGCACGTGAGAGATGTTTCCCATTTCCCCATTGATGATGTCACAAACAGGGACTTTTTGAAACAGCTCGTTTTAGACATATAATTCCTAAAACTAATAAGCACTGGTAGAAAGCAGATGGATGGTAATTTTCATGTTTGTAGTATTTATAGAGACCCTGATAACAGCACAAAGACATGCAAAAGACAAGTTTTTCATATTTCCTTTTTTAATTTGAGTAATTAGTTTGTGAGGATATAGCTCTTTTTGTCCTTTTAAGGTTCTTGACCCTCATTGATCAAACAATCATAGAAATATTCCTATATCCCAGCCTACAAATTAAGGTTGTAACGTTCTTACGAACAGCCAAAATCCAGATATATCAAATGTGCAATGACTACTCGTATGCATGTCGTACAGCAATTGACTCTTGATAAATCCCACGCGTGCGTACCCAGGCGATCGTGTCCGTTCAATCAATTACATTCAGAAACGCCCGTAATTAACCATGTCTGGTCCCACTCCATCCTCAGCTCATGAGGGAAATCCCTGCGTTCTTCCGGAGAAAAAAACCCAAACTTTATTGTCAGCGCGATCGAGGCACTGGCTGCCAAAGTAGAAGAGAACCAAACAAGTTGCAGAGGGTGTAAACGTGGATGGGACATGAGAGTTTCTTGTCAGGAATAAGGAAAAATGGTTCAACATTAAATTGCATATGATAAATCGTAGAGTAACTGGTTGTCATTTACAGTTTACATTTACGGAGTAGTATGCATTTTCTGTTTGGGGTTAGTTTTGTGATTTGGAAATGTTTGTTGCCTACACCTACACATGGAAGCTGCTTTCTCATGTCATAATCTTCACTCCAGTGTGTCAAAAGGCAACAGCCTAGAGGCCAGACCGCTTTCACTCTGTGTGACATTAAACAGAGAAGCTGAAAGCATGACAGCTATTCCACTGCATTCCAAATGCACCAAAGTATCTAAAACAGCGACCTGGAGTCCCCCCCCCCCCCCCCCCCCCCCCCCGCGGTTCCCACAGTACAGACTCACCTCAGGGACACACGACAGGAAGGGCTTGATGTAAATGTTGGAGTTGTACACCTTCAGGTCGTGATCTCCAAGCCCTCGGGTCACTCCGATTGTTGCCATTACACGTGCCTATGCACATCATCACACACAGTTAGAACACACACACTCAAACAAAACACACTGCAAATTTCAGTTCCAGCATGACTTTTCTTTCCTGGTAAATCCACTTTTGAAGGATTATAAAGCAAAGACCAAGTTTTATCAGACAGTAATAAAAATAGGCATAAAAGGCAGATGTGGCTTTCATCAAATGACCTCCAGAAATCAGAATGCAATAAATGAGTAAAATCTATAGCTAAAGCTATTAAAGCTGATTACATTTCCAAAATCCTGCGAATTTGGAACTATTGTATCACTAAATCCGTTCAGGTTCTAGCTTTACATCAGCAAACGTAATAACTAGACAGGATGGGACGCTGAAAGGAGCTGAAGTCAGACAGGGTCTCAGTCAGTATTCAGTTTGTAGTCATAATGTTGTGGCTGTAATGTTTGTCTTAGCCATTTCTTACCTTTTTCCCCTCTCCGTATATCAGTGGGAATTTTAGATCATCTTCTACGATTGTCTTATAGGCCCTACGGCGACACAAACAGACAACATAGTTCAGAAAATGAAAACTTTTAATTTAAACGTTTTGAGTAAACATAGCAGACATCAGAAAAAATAACTCTAATCCTAAACCCTGAACCAGGAATTGGATATTTAAAAGGTGTGGCTCACTGAACAACAACTTACCTACCCGCAGCCATAGATCACTGCTTTGGATCTAAAAGACCTTTTAGAAATCAGCCGATAGCTACAATTAGTGGACTTACATTTAAACTGGAAATTTGCCCCTGAAGTAGCTGCTGGCTACACTGCATCCTTCGTAAAACACAGTATTCTGGGAAATTTTTGACCAAGGGCAGGCTACAAGACGCATCCCGTGTATCCTTGCTCAGCTAGCTAAATGGCTAACAACCCGAGAACAGAACCTCCTCAGTAGCACATGAACATTGGAACACGCCTTGGAGGTTGCTGATGACATATTTCCTAGGCAACTGGGGTGGGACCAAGGCTGTTGTTGGTTTAGCGTCCAGGAAACAGCAGAGAACGTCTCAGCTAGTAGAAGCTAACCATTAGCATTAGTGCCTCCGCTCCACAGCAGAACTCCTCCAGGCTTGTGTTATTTGTGGAGATAAAACATCAACGTTTCAGAGCAAACAGAGTCAGTGGTAGAGTTGTGTTGCTGTTAGCCAATCAAAGGTGAGATGTTCAAATATCTGGAAATAAGACTCCAAGTCCTGCCGTCTGAAGCTACTTTCTCCTCCAGCTGACTTGTACTTCCTGAAAAAGGCTCATATGAGATATTTTTCCACAGTATGATTTACACGGTATTTATTCTTACTAGAGACATATTTTTTAAACGAGCGATCCACACCTTTAAGATGGAAAACATTCAGTTCACCAAATTCACTTCGCAAATAACATTCTGCACTCGTTTTTTAAATAACTGCCAATTATAACAGAATTGTTTTACTTCTTCTGAACCAAAAGTAAACCATTCAACAGATGTGCAAGAGGCTTTTGTAAGAGTTGAAATGATCCTCAACTGTCAGGAATGTGATGAAGTCGGAGTTTACCAGCCAGTCATGGTGTGGTCTCTGTAGAGCATCTTCTTGCCTAATTCGCTGTGCTGGATCCTACGAGGAAACTCAATGTGAGTGAACTCATTTCCCAGGAGTTCTGGCCTCAGGAAGCCCTGAAACGTCAGACAGAATCGGAAAATTTGGATTAAACTAGAAAACACAATTCTCTAAAAAGTGAATCGTGGGCCAGCAGTGTAATAATAAACAGCTCCCTGTTATAGCAGCAGTCACAGCCAACCCACATGATGACTCAGAAACACATACAGCTGCTAAAACAGGCAGCCAGTGAGGATTAGTTTATTTTAGTATGAAAAAGGTTTATCTGGCTAATAAGGAGGATAAAAAATACCAGATATTGTAACCGCTGCCTTTCTGACTCAGGTGTGAATTCATTAGTCATTGGAATGGCTTCGTTATTTCGTATGATTATGGCCCTGCAGAGAGGAACAGGGAGAAAAGAGAGAACCAAAAGGACATGACATGTTCGTTAGCTAGAGAGATCCATGGGATAAAAAGGTTTTTTGATGCAAAGTGGAAGAAGAAGCATCCATCAGATTTGTCTAACCTGCTATCTCCAGCATTGGCTACGTAGAGTTTCCCCATTAAATGAATGACAGCTAAGGCACAGCAGCCACCGGAAATGGCATAGGAAGTCTTCTCCTTCTCAATGAGGTCATCCTGAGAAGACAGCAAGCGAGAGAGAGAGCAAGAGAGTGAGAGAGAGCGAGAGAGTGAGAGAGAGAGAGAGAGAGAGAGAGAGAGAGAGAGAGAGAGAGAGAGAGAGAGAGAGAGAGAGAGACAGAGAGAGACTTCATCCCAAAGCATTGGCTCATCATTACAACTGAAAGCTAATGAACAGGAACAAAGAGGCTTTGAAGAGCTTTTGGCTATGGGCTGATTATAAACACCAACGACTAAAGAAAGAGGTTTGCTCCCCAGACAGAGGAAAGACTGGGTAGCAGAGTGATCGGATTCAGCCAACTTGTCAAGAAGACATCTAGACTTAGAGCGACAAATGCGGTACTATGAGAAGGCAGAGCAGCATGTTGAGATACAGGCTACAGTGTTTGTTTACTAACAGAGCTGTTATTGACCAGCCTAGAAATCTAGACAGACTGTATCAGAAGCAAGGATTTTGTTCTGCAAGTCAGTCTCTGTGGAAAAGTTGATTTGAACAATCGGATTATAGAGAAACAAAGATAATCTCTGTCTGGAATGAGGAGTTAAGGGCTATTTCTGTGATTTGAAAGTACAAACAGCAGCTAGCTGTAGCATTTTCATGGAGTCTTGTGTACCTCCATGAGGAATATCATGTTACTGGGGAACGAGAAGTGATGTAAAGTTTTTAAAATTGGATCCACATCAATTAAAGTTTTGAGACTGGAGAGCTTGTAAATCCACAGTAATCCACTTTGCTCACAGCCCCAACCATATTAGCCATTAGCTTATTGATCCGGTCATAATTAATCTCTGTTTCTCCAAAGTGAGCCTGTTCCCAGGTCTATCAACAACAGGTCAGATGCTAGTATGATAAATAGGAACAAACCCATTAACCATGCTTAAAACTTTTCATTTGTTAGAACAAAAAACTTTAAACTTATTTTGAAACCTGCAGAAACTAAATAATGGCAAAAAAGAACAAGAAGATGTGAGATCTTTCTGGTGTTTTTCTTTTATGTCCCTGTACAACCTGTGTGTTTTATCAAAAGTAGGTTCTGCTACTTCCCAATCATTCCAAGTGTCCGGTAAAATTCCTCACCATCTGTTTGAAGGCGGTCTCGATGACCCCCATGATCAGGCTCTCCAAACTAACAACTTTCTCCATGTGGAAGCGTACTGAGGAGTCGCAGACAGCATCTGGGTCTTCGGATTCCTGCGTGGCTCCCTTCTTCGCCTCCGCTTGGTATGGGCTCCCATTTTTGGCCAAGCAAATAGGAGGTGGACTGCTGGGATTCTCCAGGAGGTGGCAGATCTCCCCAAGTCCATCTCTGATGAGACGGTGCAGCAGCTTGGAGGCCATGATGGCGGCGCCGGAGCCTGCATGTCCATCAAACACCCCCCAGAATTGGAGAGGGATTCCTGTGCCATCCTGAAATGGAAACAAAGAGATAAAACGTCAGAAATAACAACTTTGTTCCCGTTTGTGAATAACATTCCTCTTGGGTATTTTTCAAAGCATGCACTCTGATATTTAGATCCTGAGTGACGTAAAGAGCAAAGGGAAAATCTCAGTGTCTCTGTTGCATCCATATGAAGCAACAGTGGGAAGATTTTCCCACCTGTGTGTTTGGAGCCTGACTGGCTGATAAATAAACAGGCTCAAGATTTCTGATGCTGAAATAACGGAGGAAGGGCAATTTGAGAGACGGCAGGAAAATAATTTCTAAAACCAGTCACAAAACAGATAAACGGGATTTAATTCCAGTTTGGAGAGTTTATAGAAGCAGTAGAGACCAGCACGGCTGCACAAAGTGATGCCAACAGTGACAACAGTAACAGTAAATGTTCTCTTTGACTAAACGTTTCTGAAGTCCGCTCACCCCGCTGTCGTCTACCATTGTGGAGTTTCTGTGTTTGCCGCTCGGCTTCCTCACAAATAGTTTCTCACACGAGGCCTGGTCCTCATTCAGCATGCTCTTTCCCGCATTGATCACCCTGATGGAGAAGAACAAAAGGAGTGAAAATAAGCCTGCAGTTTGGCGACTTATTAAGTTTGCTCCGGCTTCTCCGACTGCACGGAAGCAACAGCAGCAGCTAGAACACTGGAGGTGAGAAAGAAAGCGAGGCAAAATAAAAAGTAGGGCAGGATGCAACAGAGTCCCAGAGGGAAGTGCAGAAAGAATGAAGTGTTTTTATTATGAGATGATGACCGTGGAGGGACAACGGCTTTAGAGTGTGGTTTCACACTCAAGCAGCTTCATCTTTACTGGTTTGCATTACAGCATCCACTGTTGCTGTTTTGTGTCCGGGCTGCAGAAGAAAGAGCCGCAGATACGCATCACATGTAAACCTACTGTTGCTTAATTACACACCCAGCAGACATCATGCATAATTGGAATGATTTAGACTCAGGTTTCTAGTCTCCTGATGAATGTGGGCCCAATAATCTCCCATCTCAAATTCCCCGTTTCCACCGGATCCTGAGGGAAATTTCCAGGTCTTTAACTGAAACGAGCTGAAAGTTATTTAATTTAAGCATCATTATACGCTGTTATTTCTGATTCTGCCCACATATAAAAAACATGATATAATTCAGTGAAATGTTAAGTAACAAGACAGAAGCCACATCCCATAATACTGATTATCTAAACACGGTCAGCTGTATGTTGTACTGGCAGCGGAATAAAAATATCCATTAGCGTGGTAAAGCTGCCACATGAGACTGACTTGGAAAGGTTGCAGTTTGGACATCACGCTGGTCTGTTATGCAACATTTTCAGTTTCTATTTTAGATAAATGCCACATTAGCTGAAAAACACAGCACAAAAGGCACAACTCAAACCATTTAAGTAATGTCTTAAAACAAAATCTCTGCAGCCTGGAAACTTATCAGCTCTGGCCAGAAACCCCTCCATGGGGAGTGAGAGCAGAAACAAAAAGCTGATTTTAGAAACAAATAAATAAATAAAGATAATCTGATGCTTGCTAGTCAGTGACTTTAATATCAGACTGGAAACTACTGTATGATGTCAAATAAATGAGTGCAGCATTGTCCAAATCCTGATTATAAAACGCTCCTTGATGTTCTGATCATTTGAAAGCAGAGGACAGACACCACAGTGTCCTGCACTCGACCAATGATGGGGAGGAACTTCAAACAGCCAGATTGTCAACATCTGCACTTTCTGCCAAGACTAAAACACTTTCGCATTTTTGTCCGCAGGACCGGGATAGAAAGAAAAAACAACTCCTCATCTGTTCTGCAGTATGATCACAGCAGTTCCAAGCATTTTTACTCATTTATTTTCGGCTCTGCATTGCAGACTGCTTGCTTTTCTATAGCTTCAGTCTAGCTTAGAAAAGCTGTTTGGACTTTTTTTTTTTGCTTTGGTCAAGGTCATGAGCTGTGTGGAGTGGTCGGCTGCAGTCAAGCGGAAAATTATCCTGAAGCTTAGAGCTTTGAAGAAAGCCCAGAACAAATACAGAACACACACCTTTTTACAGGCTGAGATCTCATTCATCTGTTCTGTGAAACAGTTTATTAATGCTCTGAGAATCGATGGCTGTTAGATTTCCAGATTCACCATAAGAGAGTGAGTGGTAACCAGTCGCAAGAGCTCACTGAGCTATAAGTGAACATCATCTGCTGAATGTGAGACTTTTTTTTTTTTGCTAAAGTAGGAGCTGAGGTCATCCTTTATTGTGACTTAAAGTCCTCATTTCTGTCATATGTTTGCAAAATGCGTGAAATAAAAATAAGTCCGCTCATATTTGGTGAATCAGTATCTTTCAGGCTGAAACCTGCTTCTGAAAAATTACACAAGAGGAAGTGGAGATTTCCTGTGAATGTTCTTTGTACGGTGCATTTTACCATCAAATGTGTGGTGAAATGATCCCTGTGAGGTCATCATCTGTGAGACAACACTCAGTGTGAGATGTGGATGTGAAACCTGTAACACACCCCTACTAGTCTGAAGAGAGAAAAATGAAGGTCCGCTTAAAAGCTGCTATCTGGAGATTCCTCCCATTCAGTAATTATGTATGATTTTTCAGAAATACATGAATGTCTTTTACGTCCTGCGATATAATGTAGAAAATCCATTTTTTTTTCTGCTAAGCCTGCACCCGTCCCATAGAGCTCCATGCAATATGAATGGAGCGCCTGTCAGCACTAACCAATAACATTAGACCATCCCTTACGTACAGACGTCAATAACGGAGTGCACTCGAGCGTTTAATAATAATAATAATAATGCATTGAACTTATATAGCGCTTTTCAAGACCCCCAAAGACGCTTTCACACACTCTCACATTCACACACTGCTAGTGATGGTAAGCTACTTGTAGCCACAGCCGCCCTGGGGCGGTCTGGCAGAGGCGAGGCTGCCATTTGGCGCCGTCGGCCCCTCTGACCACCACTAAGGTGGTACCTCGGTTCCTCGGTTCAGGCAAAGTTGGCGAACTTTCTCGTGGACTAGCAAGTCTTTAAAATACAAATATATGAATACACAACAGAATGTGAGCATAATAATGAAGAATATCTATTTTAAGAATTTTGCCATTTCTAAAGGTCCATGAAGTAAGAATGACACCCTGTGGACAAATGTGTGTACTGCAGCCCATGTTTCAAAACAAACTATTCTCTCAGTCCGTAGCTTGAGATATTTCTAGAGCCGATTATTCTTTTCTAATTCATCGTTAGTAGGGATGAGCGAGTACACCACCACTATCTGTATCTGTTGAACCATCTAAATTATCTGTATTGGAAGTGGGTGTGGTTTACATCAATACATTATTTTAAATCTAAAAGTGATATGGATTGATCAGAAGTTGCTATGTGTATTGTTTATTTGAAAACTATTTACAGAGAAGCCTCAGAATTGAGATTAAATATTTTGATCACAATAGTAAAGGAACTATTACAGAACAAGTTTTTCAATAAAATCTGAACATTAATATTTAAGTAGATGAATTAATACATCTGAACTCATGCAGTAGGATCTAGGAAATATGAAATACTAGAACCAGACACAACTTCATGTATATTTTTTATCTTAATTTGATTAAACTGATTTTTTCTTAACGTTCTTGGAATTTTCCCCACACAAAGTCAAACAAAACAATGTTGATTAAGGTGTGTATGGGAGATAGAGAGGGAGAGAGAGTTAAAAAAAAGAAAGAAAAAAAAACCCGACCGGAGCGGAGGCAGTGACTGACGCAGCACGTCAGCTCGGTCTTGTCAAATGCACCACGCAAGTAATGAAAAAAGTAACTTTAAATATTCAACCGAAAAATAGGCGAGCTGAGGAAAACCTAGGGAGTACTGAAGAAAAGTGAGCAACATTGAAGCAAGCACAGAGAGATCCGTTAACTGTCTGTGTGTGTGCGTGGATGGGCCGGACTGACGGCTGCAGTTTTGTGTGTAGGGAGGGGCGGGCGCTCTATGTGATTGGCCAATCACAGAGCGTGAAGACAGTCAGTTACCCAATGAGGATTTTCCTTCAGCACGATTACAGATATTTAAGAGTTTTACTCGTTTCATGCTCGTATTCGTCAAAAATGAGTTATTCGTACCGGATACTCGGCTCATCCCTAATCGTTAGCGTTGTTAGCTCATTGTTAGCAAAGCACAATGTGTCTCAGCAACGTTAGGCTCTCCTACTGTTGGATGATTTTCAACCTCAAGGTGATGACCCCAGTCATTTGATCTCTGGCTTTCTATCAGATTTTGCGAGACAATCTGTTCCACCTAAGCAGGCTGACATTGCTTGTTCTTTCCCACAGTCAGTTCCAGGCCCAAACACCCAATGAATTCATATCTCTCTTATAGAATTGAGCGTAGCACAGCCACATCTTCACACAGAGTTTCCACGTTTACATCAAATAGGGAGCCTAAGTCTCCTCCCTTTCCGATCGGCTTATGGGTCCCCGGAAGAACGAAAGAATGAATGCAAGTCAACGAGGCTACAAGAGCTGCCTTCTAATCTGGATCTGGATCTCGAGACTTGGAGCTCCTTCCATCTCCTACACATCTTTGGGGGGCAGATCTGTGGTCCCTCACACTCTCTATTGGAAGCTCCTATAGAAAAACCTTACATAAACAAGCGCGGGTATGCACACAGGTGCTCACATGGTGCTCTCATAAGTATGGACTTGGGCACGTTCAACACGTCTTAAAGCTGTGGTTGGCACTAAATGCACTGTGATTTATTATCGTGATTGTTCAGTAAAACAATGTTGATTTTATATTTCCTCATCAGGTTGAAGCAGTGATTGTTTGCTCCTGTTGTATTGCTGTGTCCCTTTTTTTCTCTCCTTCTGCAGGTCTAGAAGCAGACTCTTGTTCATCATTGATTGTTTATTTTTCTTACTGCACCTTTGAGCAGATTTTTCTCTTGCTGAGCTTCAGCTGAATCTATTCTCATCATTCTGCCAAGTGAAGCTTCCTCAGATGGAAGCTGACAGACAATTAAAGACAAGAAAAATCTTGATTAGGAATATTAACAAACTTAATTTCTCATAGTTTTTATTCCTTTTAAGGGAGAAGAAGCTTTTAACATATGAAGAAATGATAGCGGACAGAACGACACAGTAAACACTAAAACAGGCATTATAAGAGCTGTTCTGCAGCTGCAATGATTAGAACAGATTGGTTGTACTTTAAGGGTGTGGACACAAAACAGCATCAGGAAAGAAACTAGGTTGGATTTTGACAACAGGTAAATAACATGTTATCTGCACCGATTCTGGCTTTCAGGGTTAAAACAAAATGTCTGATTCTGTTACAGAAATAATTCTGACAGAAAACATTTTTCCTGCTCTCTGATTATTTAAAAATTCTGATCCTGGAAGTAAAATCATTCACATTAGATCAGCAACTGATAGAGTGGATGGTGGGCTCGCAGATTAAAAACATTTTTTTAAATAACCAATTGGAAATGATCCTTTCATCAACTAAAACAAATCTGAATTTAAGAATAGAAGACTTTATTTGTATCTATAAATCATGTAGAGTTCTGGTTTCATCGATTAAACTAAGGGTGTTGATTACTGGATGATTCCAATAAATAAAAAAGGACATAAGACATTTGAAAAGGGTCAAAATTATTTATCCATTAGTCTGCTCTGGAGGTAAACCGATTAGATGTGCTGATATTTGCTAATTTTAATATAATCAGCTGGACTCGTGCATACGGTTACCGAGCAGAAAGCAGGCACTGCAAAAGGCAGCTCGTGTCAGCTCCCTAATGAAATCTCTTCAGCAAGAAAACTCTTCTGTGATTCTTCTTTTTTTCTTGAGCTTCTCAGCTCTCCTCGTATCCAAGTTCAACTTCTCTGCTTGATATAAAACATTTTTACCACCAAAACAAAAACATTTTTTCCTGCTTTTGGTCATGATCTCAGTGTTTCGACCTGGAAGCACATTTCCATAATAAGCAGCATTAGCTAGTCACTTGGGGAAAGCGGTCTGAGTGGTTTTAAGGGCACTCTCGTTTTTTGGCCCCACTGGTCATCTTTGTGCTGAAACAACATATTAGACCACATATATTTTACAGCAGTTAGAGGCCAGCAGACGTACAGGTTTCCAGTTAAGTAGAAAGAGGAAAAGTCACGTTGTAGCTTTTCCTCTGTATCCTACAACATCTCAGTAGGTTCAGCTCTGCGTTGGTTTGTCTTGGATTATCTGCATAGATGTTTGTGTAAAGGAAACATACACTGCCTGGCAATATAAAGTCGCCACCTGGAATTAACTAAGCAGACACGTAAGAGCCTCCTATTGGATAATGACTGCATGGGTGATTATCTTTCAGCTGCAACAAGTTATTGAACCCCAATTGGTGCAATGCGCTTCTTCTCATTCCTGAAACAACTATGTGGAAAGGCACATCTGGTGGTGGTGGAAAAGATGTTAGTCTGTGTGAGAAGGGTCAGATCATCGGCATGCATCAAGTAGAGAAAACATCTAAGGAGATAGAAACGACTAAAACTGGATTCAGAACTGTCCAACGCTTTATTAAAAACTAGTCTGATGAGTCCAGATGGACCCTGTTCCAGAGTGATGGTGCATCAGGGTAAGAAGAGACAGATGAAGTGATGCGCCCATCATGTCTAGTGCCTACTGTACAAGTCTGAGGGGGCAGTGTTATGATCTGGGCTTGCTGCAGGTGGACAGGTCCAAGTTCAGCAACAGGATGTGCTCCAAGATTGAGGACAGCTGACTACCTGATTATCCTGAATGACCAGGTTATTCCATTTTCTCTGATGGCGCGGCCATATTCCAAGATGACAATGCCAGGATTCATCAGGCTCAGATAGTGAAAGAGTTGTTCAGGGAGCATGAGAAATCATTTTCACCTATGGGTTGGCCATTAAACCCATTGAGAATCGTTGGGATGTGCTGGAGAAGGCTTTGTGCAGTGGTCAGACTCTACCATCATCAATGCAAGATCTTGGTGACACATTAATGCAAGACTGGATGGAAATAAATCTGGTGATGTTGCAGAAGCTTATCGATACACTGGCACAGCGAATGTGTGTCGTAATCAAAGCTGAAGGTGGTCCAGCAAAATATTAGAGTGTGACCTTTCATTTGGTGGTGACTTTTTCTTGGGTAGTGTATCTATACAAGCTACAAAGAAATGTGTTTTGCTTTTGAAAGCAAAGATGCTTCTAAGGGATCCCAAACTTTTTGTGAGCAGTGTTGTTCCCTAACATCTGCAGTCATGATGACACAGAGCTAAGAAAGATGTAGGCCAACAGGAAGGTCTAAGGAGACAGCAATCATCTGCTTGGACATCACTGTCCTCACTCATTACAGGTGAGGCAAACAGTGCTGGTGCACTCATCCATTACATCAGTCTAACTGGTTCTGATGTTGACCAGTTAAAACAAACCAGTAGATATCTAACAAACACAGCTCTACACCTGTGCAGCAGCGTAAAGGCCACGGCGTCAGATGCTCACCTTAATGTAACAAAATTAGGCTTCATCTGCTTTAAGTGACAGTTTAACTCTGACGGGTGCAACTTTTAACAGTCGATTACACCGTGCTGCAAACAGCACAGCTACATCTGTGTTTACAGTTTCAGTGAATTACATCAGCTCGCTGCAGAACCTAGACAGAAACGGTGCAGGTTCCCACAGAAAGCAACACCACATCCTCAGTCCTCTGATACATCACCCACCTCACTCTCTCTGCCCCCTGGAGACTTTCTGCATGACTCAGCCATTTTTAAAGTTGCACTCTTGGATCTGGGGGGGGGGGGTTAGCACCAAACACATACAGAGAAATGAATGAGAGGTTACAAATGATTCTGAGAGTATTTTTCCTCTCATGCTGGTCAACATCTTGAATTAAATTTCTGCTCTTCCAAAGCAGAAACCACTAGACAGCAAATGCATCACGGCTCAGACAGAAACAAACATTTCCTGCTTTCACTTCCGCATGGCTTGCATCTCCAGTAGTCTTCAAACTGGCAGCATTTAAAGATGTTGCATGCTTTCTGCTGCAGGAGGGCCAGCTGACCATCACCGTTGCTGCAGCAGCAACACCAAAACACCCACCAGGGCCCAGATTCTCACCAAGCGGACGGGTTATTGCTCTGCTGTGAAACGGCTTCATCCACTTACTCTGCGTATCCGGTCTGCCAGGGAAGCCTGCTGCCCCTCTTCAGCGCGAGCACCGGCCGTGACGCGTGCTCGGTGGAGTACTGCAAGAGCTCCGGGGTGAGGTCCAAGAAATCCGGCCGGCCGTAGGGGAAGCGAGGCGGGAGGCTTTCCTGGCCACAGGTCTGTCCTCCACCTGGATGATGGTTGTGGTGGTGGTGTCCGTGCGGCATCATTCCCCCGACCAGGTTGGACATCGCGTTCTTAACTTTGCTGATCATCATCAGCGGGACCGAACCGAACCCCTCGAGCCCCCAAAATAAAACAAAAACAAAAGATCAGAAAGGAAATGAATAAAAATATCACACACGATGTTGTGATGTTACGGCTGAGATGAGAGGAGGAGGAGGTAAAAGCAGCGAGACATGCAGACAGCGACGACAATCATTTCAGGAAGCGATTGTTTCCTTCCTTGGACCCATGTGACAGCTTTCGGAACCGAGCCGAGCACATAAGTGGGCTGGGATCCTGCACGAGGCTGCCTACATCTCAGAAGGCAGGGCTTCGGGATGCACAGCAAACATTTCACTCCCTAAAATAAATACACGATGACTGCATGGGTCTCCGAACATTACCATCAGCCACGTTCAAGTCTTTAAATCCCGGTCATAATAAAATACATTAAAGGGAACGTTTAAGTCTTTTGAATTTACTTTCTATGAAATGTTGAGAACATTTATGATTTTATCTGATTGATAGATCTTTGATCAGCCTTTGTTTGAAAAAATACAGATGAACCAGAGAGGCTATGGCAGCCTGCAGGGCCGCTCCTTGCCAAAGAGCGGCCCTAGTCTGAATTGTATTGACCCCCCCCCCCCCCCCCCCCCAACATTCCAGACAGTAAACACCAATCATCTAAAAATGATCTTCACCTGTGTGTGCGTCAGTGACGTGTCACGTGATCAGGAAGAAGCGATCCATGAAATACGAGCTGGTTTTGGGAAGCCACTATGCCTAATTAGTAACTATAACTAATTACTAATTACTTTGTTAAAGTAACTTTCCCAACACTGGACATTGATGTAAATACTAATCTAACAGTAAGTCGAGCTTGTTTCTGGTGAGAGTTGGACTCCACCCTTTGTTACCGATACTGTTCTTAACTTTTATGGACAGGATTTCTAGGCGCAGCCTCGGTACTGAGGTAATCTGTTTTGGTGGCCTGAGGATCGGGTCTCTGCTTCTTGCAGATAATGTGGTCTTGTTGGCTTCATCAGAATGTGATCTCAGTTTTCGCTGGAGTGGTTTGCAGTTGAGTGTAAAGTGGCTGGGATGAGAATCAGCCCTTCTAAATCCAAGACAATGGTCTTAAATTGGAAAATGGTAGAATGCCTTCTCCAGGTCATGGATGAAGTCCCTCCCAAAGTGTCATGTTGCAGGTGTGGAGATGATGGACCATGGAGATGTGTGGTGGAGAGTTCAGGAGGCAGGAGAGCAGGCACGGATGAAAAATAAAAATGGTTTTAATGGTGGAATGGGAACGACAGGAACAAAACAACGATGACTACAAACAATGATCTGACAAAGGACATAACGAGACGGGAGGTATAAATACACTGGGGAAAATAAGGAGCACATGGGCAGGTTAACAAGGGGCAGGTGAAATCAATAGGGACTAATCAGGCAGGAGAGGGACACAGTCAGTACCCCCCCCCCCCCCCCCCTCAGCAAATGATCTGTCACCTTTGGTCTTTAGCCTGGTGCGTTGCACAACCAGTAGGCTTTGATCACTGGACCTCAGGGACCTGCTGGGGGTGTAGGGACTAAGAAGATCACCAATGTAAGAGGGTGCTTGTCCATGTAAGGCCCTATAGACCAGAACCAGGATCTTGAAATGAACCCTGACATTGACTGGCAGCCAGTGAAGCTGGAGGAGAAGCGGGGCGATGTGGGTGTGTTTGGAGGACTTGGTCAGAAGCCGAGCACAGGCATTCTGAACCACCTGTAGACGGCTCAGGGAGGTTCTGCTCAGACACGTGAAAAGAGAGTTACAGTAGTCTAAGCGTGAGGAGATGAAGGAGTGGATAACTGTCCCAAGTTCAGAGTGGGACAGAATGGGACTCAGCTTAGCAACGTTCCTTAGATGGAAGAAGGAAGAGCGAACAAGAGAACTGAGATGAGAATCCAGGGTGAGAGCTGGGTCAAAGGTCACGCCAAGATTCCTGACGGAAGGTTTGGTGTGAGAAGCAAGCTGACCAAGACAGTCTCTGACTTTGGGAACCAGCTTGTCTGGGGCACAGATGAGGATCTCAGTCTTATCTTCATTCAGCTGAAGAAAGCTCCCAGCCATCCAGGTTTTGATAGAGTCTAAGCAGGTGTGTAACAGCTGCAGCTTAGACATCTCATGGGGCTTGAAGGAGATGTGATGTCATCTGCATAAAGATGGTAGGAGATTCCTTTGAAGGAGGTCAGGATGTGCTGAAGAGGAAGCAGATAGAGGAGGAAGAGCAGAGGCCCCAGCACAGAACCTTGTGGGACACCATGGGTAAGAGAGGTGGTGGAGGACCAAAACTTGGAGAAGGCCACAGAAAAGGAGTGCTCAGAAAGATAAGAGGAGAACCACTCCAGAGCAGATCCTGATAGGCCTACCCAGTCTCTCAGCCTCTCCAGTAGCAGGTGATGGTCAACAGTGTCAAAGGCTGCAGTCAGGTCCAGCAGGACCAGAACAGAACAGTCCCCTGCATCACTGTGAGTCAGAAGGTCATTAGAGACCCTAAGAAGAGCTGTTTCAGTAGAATGAGCTCTACGAAAACCTGACTGAAGCTATCATAGATGTTCTGTTCATCAAGAGCAGCTGCGAGTTGTTTAACCACAACCTTTTCCAAGATCTTGGAGATGAACGGAAGTTTAGAGATGGGTCTGAAGCTGCTAGGAGAGAGGGGTCAAGACTCGGTTTTTTAAGAAGCGGGTGGATTACAGCGTTCTTAAAGTAAGCAGGGACCTGACCAGAAACCAGAGAAGCATTAATAATGGAGAGCACGCTGGGACCGATGGACAGAAAAGCACTTTTAAACAAAGATGAGGGTGAGATGTCGAGGGGGCATGCAGAGGTCTTCATAGAGTTAACTAGTTTGGTTAACTCAGGCAAAGAAACAGGAGCAAAGCTATCCAGGATGATGGGCCTGGTTGGAGTCGGGAGAGGCAGCGATAACGCTGAAGGAGAGATGCTAGATCTAACCTTATTGACTTTGTCCACAAAGAAAGACAGAAAGTTCTCACAGTCTGCAACAGAGTGGATGGAGGCTGTAGGAGAGGCAGGAGAGACAATGCGGCTGATGGTGTTAAATAGCACCTTGGGGTTCCCTTTGCTCTGGGACACCAGGTTGGAGAAATAGGAAACCCTTGCATCTTTGACTGCAGAGTTAAAGGATGTCAGTAGATCCTTTAGGTGCAGCAGATGGACGTGGAGATGGGTTTTCTTCCACAAATGCTCAATTTTTCTGTATTGGCGCTTCAGGCTGCGAAGGCTGTCATTAAACCAGGGAGTAGGGTTCACTGCAGGAACTGATCTGGTTCTGACAGGACAGATGTTGTCCAGAATGGAGATGCAGTGCTCATTAAACCGAGAAGTTAAGGAATCTGGGTTGTTATCAGAAGAACAGGGTGGATTAAAAGCAGCAGAAAAATTGCTAGCTGTGTTCTCATTAAGAAAATGAGAACTAACCATACGGAGAGCAGGAGGTGGGGATGCAGAAACTGACAAGTTAAAGAAAATGCAATGGTGATCTGAAATATAAATGTCCTCAGGACAAACACTGTCAGCATTTAGACTCAGGGTAAAAACAAGATCTAGAGTGTGCCCCCTGGTGTGTGTGGGGCCAGAAACATGCTGGGTAAAGCTGAAGGAGTCCATAAGGCTGGAGAAATTCATGGCAAAGTGATCAGAGGGATCATCAACGTGGATGTTAAAATCACCAACAATCACCAGTCTGGACAGCTTCACAGTGGAGGATAGAAAGTCACTAAACTCCTGAAGGAAAGAACTGTTTGGACCAGGTGGACGATAGACCACAGCACAGTAGAACGAGTCCTTACGCCCGACTTTAATCAGCTGCAGTTCAAAGGAAGCAAAGTGACCAGAGGTTGTAGAGCTACAAGGAAGATGGTCTCTGAAAACAACAGCTAGGCCTCCACCACGACCAGAACCCGGGACTGGCTAAGAAAAGAATAACCATTTGGGCAGAGTTCAATCAGACCAGAATAATCAGATGTTTGTTGCCAAACTTCAGTCAGAAACAGAAAATCCAGGTTTTAGAGAGAATTAGATCATTGAGCAGGAAGGTCTTATTGTTAACAGAGCGGGTATTTAATAGAGCCATGCTGAGTGAGGAGGAGGAATCAGAAACTACAGAAACAGCTGGAGTTAGTGGACGTAAATTAGCGGGTTTAGATCCATGGTGTTTATAAAAACCACTTATGGAGGGAACAGGAGGAGAAACCACTGAGGAATGAGGATAAACTGACCTTAAAAAACTGGGACGGATGAACCGCGCTGCAACGCGGCCTGGCGGGAATGCGGAAGTGGCGCTCAGGTCACCAAACAAAGGAAAAGAAGCTAGAAGATCGCGCCGATGTTTACTAGATAAACCACGCTTTAAGAGAAGTCTTATTCTCACCTGGATTCCTGCTCGTTTACATCCTTTTCTCCGACGTTTTCCCGGGACCGGACAAACATAGCTGGAGATGCGTAGCTCGTGATCGTCATTCGGCTCCGGGCCAGTGAGCCGCTCAGATAAACAAACAGGATGGTACGTCCTCGGTGCATCTTGGGCGATCGTGAACGAACGGACGGTCAAAAGAGTCTGGCGATCATAGGAGATGGTAGCAGGGGCACTACTGAAGAGGATCGCAGACAGGAGCAAGGTGGAAAAGAGGAGCTTAGTGGAGAAAAGTTTGAAAAAGTGGCTGGTGACTGCGGCTAAGCCAAGCACAGGCGCCATCTTGTTGCCGACCGGAAGCGGAAGCTGATTAAGTATCTCGGGGTCTTGTTCATGAGTGAGGGAAAGATGGAGCATGAGATCGATAGGTGGATTGGTGCTGCATCTGCAGTGATGAGGTTGTTGTACCGATCTGTCGTGATGAAGAGAGAGCTGAGCCAGAAGGCAAAGCTCTTGATTTACTGGTCGATCTATGTTTCAACCCTCATCTATGGTCACAAGCTTTGGGTAGTGACCAAAAGACCGAGATTGCATATACAAATGGCCAAAATGAAGTTTCTCTGCAGGGTGGCTGGGCTCTCCCTTAGATATAGGGTGAGAAGTTTGGTCATCTGGGAGGGGCTCGAAGTAGATCTGCTGATCCTCCACGTCGAGAGGAGCCAATTGACGTGGCTCGGGCATTTGGTCAGGATGCCTCCTGGACGCTTCCCTGGTGAGGTTTTCTGGGCACGTCCAACCAGAAGAACCCAAGGGACGACCCAGGACACGCTGGAGGGACTATGTCTCTCAGCTGGCCAGGTAACATCTTGGGATTCCCTCGGAGGAGCTGGCCCAAGTGGCTGGGGAGAGGGAAGTCTGGGCCTC